ATAAAATAAAATCAATAAAAGCATATAATTCTTTTAAAGTTCTAATTATTCTGTTTCAATAATATTTGGTCATAAACATATTGTGGACTCAGGTTATGCATACTGGGTGGTCTTGCTGGATTAGTTCAGCAGGACATTGCTAAAAGGTTGCCGACTCCTGCTCCAGGATGTAAGTAGACCATCACTGTAGTGACATCAACACCTATCATGTTGCTCACACTGTTTGAGTCTAGCATTATATGCCTAGTATGTTAATGGTACCATCGGAATTTTAACTCTTCGTTTGCTGCTGAAGGTGGGGACAGAGTGCTTGCAGGGGTGTCACGAGTGCTATGATGTTGATTCGTAATTCAACATTCAACATGTCCAGTAACTAATGATGCCAAGTAAAGAAGGTGTAATGTTTTACACAATTCCATCAATGCACACTCATTCCCATGCATGTTGAATCCTCCCATGCAACAGCCATTCCAAGGAACCTCTGCTGACTGTTCTCATGAGAAGTTGGTAATACTGTCTCCTATCCTGACCTTGAATACAGCACAGACCTGCTTCACCAAGCTTTACTCCCAGGTCACATAGCTGTGCTAGCCCCAGAGATTCATCATTATTCACCAGCCTAGTCCATACAGCACTTCTCATTGGGTCATTTTTTTAAAACACACAATGGTTATTCCAATACTATACTACGCTTTGAATCATCATCATCATACAGCAGGTCCTTTGCAGAACGTCGCTCTCATCACGGTCTGCCTGAAAGAAACTCAGTCTCTCGCCAGCTCTCCCACCTCAAGCACTTTAATACTCACACTTTGAATATCAGTGCAAATTTTCTCAAACACACACAATTTCAATAACAACCTGTTATGTTTTACGGATGTTGTACAACATTATACACTGGTCCTTTTATTATAATATGTTTCTATAAGCAAGCTGCAAACAACTGGTCCCTGGTAGGTGTGCCGCCACCAAGAAATCTTGGGGGGAGGATGTTTAGTTAATTTTTTATAACTGACATTATTGTTATTTATTATGATGTGGTGAATACCTAATAAATGTAATAATATATTTTTGAAGAATATGCAACGTAAAACAAATACTTAAAAGTGAACGCCTAATAAGTTCCTGATAAGGGGAACTAAGCTCCCAGGGGAAAAGAACAAGAAGCTAAAGTTGATAAGATGGGGATGAGAAAGAACAGCAGATAAAAGAGCAAGAAGATCTAAGATGGACTGACGTCATTAATGGCATTAAACATTCAAATATTTATAACTGACATTAGTTGTCAGGTTTTACCAAAAAATATCTATGCACGCATCCTTTCCAGCACAGCACTGTAGGTTACACCAGGCTGGTTTAACTATTACACAGCACAGGACTGCAGGTTACACCAGGCTGGTTTGACAATTACACAGCACAGGACTGCAGGTTACGCCAGGCTGGTTTAACTATTACACAGCACAGGACTGCAGGTTAAACCAGACTGGTTTGACTATTACACAGCACAGGACTGCAGGTTACACCAGGCTGGTTTAACTATTACACAGCACAGGACTGCAGGTTAAACCAGACTGGTTTGACTATTACACAGCACAGGACTGCAGGTTACACCAGGCTGGTTTAACTATTACACAGCACAGGACTGCAGGTTACACCAGGATGGTTTGACTATTAGGAGTGTCCTAATTATGACTTTGTTAGAGACTGAACAGGGTATCTGTTATCTGGTCTGCCTTCCAGACTGAGATTTGTTATCCCAGGGTGGTAAACCTTCTAGTAGGAGACAGGAAGAAACAAACAGATTATTCGATTAAACCCAGGTTTTTGTAAAGCTCTGCCTGTGGGACCCATGGCTCCATTGCGGGGGGGGGGGGGCCTTCCAGGGGGGGGGACCCACTGCATGCCCAAGCATGTCATGGTAGTCGGCTAATTGGAGTTTCCTTTACAGTCGGAGTACATCTGCCTGAGAGGCAAGAAACCAACAGTCTGCATACAAATAAGTTAGCTCTGTAAAACGAATGTGCGCGGAACACTCAGGTTCTGAAACAAAGTCTAAAGTCCAGAGGTAGATGAACAATCAGAACTTTCCACCAGAGTTTACAGCTGGTGAACGCAAAGAAGAAGACGGCAAACTGTGACAATAAGAAGAGTTAGAATTACAAACATATAGAGTAAAGAGTCAGAGATAATGGCAATAGTGTAGGAAACATTGTAGAAATTTGACTGAATCATTAAAAGGTAAACAAGTTAGAAATTCTCGCTTGTGGAATGTTTAAGGTAGGAAATACAAACTTTCATCTACTGAATTTAATTTATTCATGAACTTCACACTCTTTCAGTCTTGTTCCATCCTTCCTTTTTTCACTTCTGCTATGCCTTTCTTTCTTTATGTCTTCTTTTCTCTTTGTTTATTTTTCTCCATCTTCCTTTATTATTTCTGCCGCTTTCCATTTTAGCCCTTCCACTATTTTTGGGATACAAAAAAAATAATTACTGGTGAACAATCAGAAAGAAAAAAACCTGAACAGACATACAAAAAGCTTTCCCTGTACACCAGGGTTTCTCAAAATTTCTCCGTCACGGCACCCTTGCACTTAAAGCAGTTTGAATAATTAGGAAAAGAAGAAAAAAAAGTGCAAATTTAATGTTCAGTTGTCTTTAATGCTGTGAATGAAAATGTTTAGATGAATTTTTCATTATTTCCTTTATGTTTATGGGAAGTTTAGTTAACTGTACCCTGAAATCACTCCAAGGTTACTCCTGTATCTGTTTTTTTATATAAGCGTACATTGAGAATGCACTGCAGCATTGCCAATAGTATTGTTTTCTGAATACACCTGCATCCAGAACTCTTCTTGGCTTCCTTCACAGTATTTCTGTTTTAAACTGCTGTCTTCAATGATGTCAGGCAGATTTTGCAAAATTCTTGATTATTGCTGTGGAGCCCTAGTATACGCTTGGGGCACCCCTAGCATTCGCTCGGGGCACCCCTAGCATACGCTCGGTGCACCCCTAGCATACGCTCGGGGCACCCCTAGCATACGCTCGGGGCACCCCTAGCATACGCTCAGGGTACCCCTAGGCCCCGTGTCACCAAGTTTGAGAATTGCTGCTGTACAAGACAGACACACATATTAATATTAATATTCAACCCAGATATTTCAGGCAAGACCCGGTATGATGCTTCGCTTAAGATCTGAACTCAGACATACACAGCTGCAGTCAGGAAACTACCAACTCAATAAGCACACTTTATATGTATTGAATTAATGAATCAAGAATTGACATCACTGGCCTCATGACATTTGCACACGTGTATCCACGATCCCCTTCTTCAGTTGCCAATGAAGAGCTGATCTGCTAATAGTACTAGGTGCAACCAGATTAAAAGTCCATTATGATGTGAAACTAATGCAAACAACAAGACATATATGCGCTGTTCGAAGCAATTCAAACAAAATTATACGGGGAAAGCACAACCCAAAATACATGTGACAACTAATTGACCACTCGTGGGGCCCCCAGGGCAAGTGCCCAGTTGGTCCATGCATTAAGACGGTGCTGGATAAGATAATCAAACAACTGTTACATGGGTTGATATAAACTGGGGGGTGACTGCATTCGAGTTGATGACTAGACGTGCTAAAACAACATAAAATGCAACTAGAAAGCTGTCAGAGGTGAGTGGATAAAACATTACAAATACAACTGAATTTTTCTACCAAAGTCTTTATCAATGGAGTATTAAATACAACAACACTAGTTTTGTTTTCATATTCCACTGATGGAGACCTTGGTAGAAACATACCTCTGTATTTGTATTGTCTTTTCCACTTCCCTCCATCAGCTTTCTAGTTGCATTTTAAGTTGTTTTAGCACTTTTTGTTATTTGCAGAATTACTGGAATATGCCCACTACATTAGTTTCCTAACGTCTGTAAGTGACAGGGTCACATCCTTGTCACATGCTGTTGACATAATATTTTTTGTTTAAGATTTTCAGGCACCCATTTTATGATTCTTTGCACTTTAAATACTGGAGGAGGGGTTTCAATATTGCCTTTCCTTACAACCGAACCCCATGCCACTGTGCTGCTAACCAGCAGAACCACTACATCCTAATGTTGCCAGAATACTGCTTGCAGTAATATCCTCACTTTTTAATGACACACTGTAATGTGAGTTGCAATCTGCTGCTGTTGTTGTTGGCACCTTTCCATCTCTGGAAATGACAGTGTTTTACTGTGCCACAGGGAGCCATGGAGATCATAGTGCATGGTGATCATGAGTGCTCAATACATGAGCAGTACTGTGCAGACCATGTGTTGCATGAGAGTTACATTTATATGACATACACATAAGCGACCAGTCTGTCACACTGTAGAGACTAACCACTGCTCGGATAGGCACATGTTCATAAAATGGAGTACTAATTGTCTAAAAAAACTGCATGTCTTCTTCTTATAGTCCATGCTGTGTGGCATTTCTAGTATGCCTATCCACAACCTTCTTGTCTATCCACAACCTTCTTGCCTATCCACAACCTTCTTGTCTATCCACAACCTTCTTGCCTATCCACAACCTTCTTGCCTATCCACAACCTTCTTGCCTATCCACAACCTTCTTGCCTATCCACAACCTTCTTGTCTATCCATAACCTTCTTGTCTATCCACAACCTTCTTGTCTATCCACAACCTTCCTGCATATCCACAACCTTCCTGTCTATCCACAGCCTTCTGTCATATATATATTTTTAATCAAGTTTGACACAGATGATCTTCCATGCCATGATGTCAAACTGTCCAGCATCTTTTCTTTCACCTCTTGTTCCCTCCACTTTTCCGACCGCCAGTCTTCTCCTTCAAGTTGTATTTACACGACAGAAAGAAAACTAACCAGGCTATTACACAGTAGAGACTGATCCCTGCTGACAGATACTGAATATTAAAATTGATGCTGGATACTGTGTTCAATCTGTTGTCCCTAACTACAGCAAACAGCTAACGCCTGACAACTGCCTTTCCTGACTTCCAGATGGAACCGTGGAGCACAACAGCATCAACAGACACAGAAAGATGTTTGGTCGAAGTGATCTCTGAGAAGCTTTTAGCACCTGAGTTGTACCTGGGAGAATTAAAACATATAATTGTTAGCACCTGAGAGAAGCAGAATATATCATGTTTTAAACAAGTTGAGTTGTACCCGGGAGAATTGTAATGTATTATATTAAGCAAGTACCTGGGAGAACTAGAATTCATGTAACATGTATACCAGGTATTATATCATCTGAGTTGTACCTGGGAGAAATTATAATATATCATGTTTAACATCTGAGTTGTAATCATGTTTAACCTGAGTTGTACCTGGGAGAATTATAATAATTGTAACATCTGATACCAGGGAGAATTATATCATGTTTAACATCTGAGTTGTACCTGGGAGAATTATAATATATCATGTTTAACATCTGAGTTGTACCAGGGAGAATTATATCATGTTTAACATCTGAGTTGTACCAGGGAGAATTATAATACATAATTACTTATTACCACCTGAATCAGTATTTACCTTGAAGACTAAGAAAAAACATTTTGTGAGCATCCTTTTGTATCTGGAAGAAATTATACACATTATTTTTCACTAAAACAGAGAGTTTGCAGAAAGACAATACAGAGACTTACTTGTAAAATTTTTCACACAGCTCATTGGTGATATGTTTGGGACCAACACCATGAAGTTTGAAAGCCTCCTCTGTTTCTGGGTAGAAAACATACAACCCTCGGTACTGGCAACCTGCGTCTCGGAAGAGGACCAGGAAGTGGTTGGCGTCGCACTTGGCTAACTCCTGCAGACAAACAGCAAATTCATTTTAATCCTTCATTACGAGGTGACTAACCACATGACATATACAAGCAGTTAATTGTGAACGTAGTCAATTTTATGTGTTCATTTGGAACAGTGGTCTCTTATCTTTTTTCAGGGGGGCGCCCATCCACCCTCCCCCTTGAGTATATGGCAAGACCTCCCATGTCCCCCTTCCCCCTTTTTGAGTATATGACATTCTCTGTTTCTGTATCTCTGTGACCCCAACCAATGCAGTCTATTAGCCCTCATGATGCTAATAAATGGTGGTTATTTAACTCTTTCAGTCCCAGGCAAGGCCTGATGTGTTAATGAATCTAACCTATGATTTCTCTCCACAGAATAACATGCTCTCTTAACTTAAGATGGGGATGATGCACTTATGGGAATGCCACATAGTGCTGTGATGTCGGTTCCTGAATAAAAATCACATCAAATCTCTCGTGAAGCCTTCTGATACCGAAAGAGTCGGACAGTATTAATTTTTCTGTTGCGTCTCACTCTCCATTCACCTCTCATCTGCATCTTGATGTGAATTTTTTAAAAATACATTTTTAAAAAAAAAACGTGTTTGGAAAGGAAGAAATCACAGAAAGAGACCTTAGAAAAGAACCTACTTCTAGAACTCTGTTTTTCAAATCAGTATTGACAGATCCAGCCAGGCAACAATGAGAGATGGCGTTGACAATGATGTGACGGTTAGACTTGGCACTAGGCTTCACAAACAGCTTCGGTCCTGCTCAGAAAAACAAGTGACAGTCAGTTTAATAAGCTAGTTAACCAAATAAACATGTTTACCTTCTCTACAGTGCAGATTGTTTTCACTGCTGACTACGGGAATATTAAAAAGTGAGATCCCTATCACTTCCACGTGCGACTCTTGAACCACGAGAACGTTCTTTTATCTTAACCGTCTGTAAAGGTTCAAAAGTCCCTAGTCAAAGATCCTACTTGATAACACAAAAGCTTCAAACATCTGTAACCAACAACTACACTAGTCGGAATGAAATCATCAAACCTGATGTATGCTTTCTATAAGTCCCACAAACAGTGCCTGCATCATCCACATAAAGGGCGCCATTGTCAAAGAGTGAAGTCTAACATGCTGAGGAAGTGAGATGCCAAATTGTGCTGGGAATAGGAGCATTAGGTCTGCAGACTGATTCCTGGCGATCATTAAAGGGTGCAGGCTTAATGACTAGAAGGCTCAATAGATGGATGTAACATGAAATCAGTCATGTGACGATTGCTGAGCCCAAAACCAGAGGGCCATGTCTGGGATCAGCATTTATGGAAAGCCTCATTGGATAACAGGGAATATCCATGTTCTGCCCCTGTCTTCCTTTAAAAGTCCATCAAGCTGTATGTGACTGCCCCGGATGGGTCCTCTAGAGACCACACTTGTGGATCAGGGGATGACGATGACAAACTCACCACATACATGAGGCTATAAATCTTCATGAAATTAACTGGAAAGGCTAACCTGAATAAACAAATGCCCAAAGAAGTTGGATGTGTCCACCGAAAGACTTTTATATCACACCTATGCTGTAAACAGGCGCAACAGATTTACGTAACTCATATGAAAGATAAAAAAGAATAAGATCTGTTTGATTTGTTCTACTATTTGTAATTTAGTTTCTGGTAAATTCCATAATTTGTATAATTCTATAGACCAAGAAAGACCTGGTTACAGGCTCCAGGCATGCAACCATGAAGTCCATCGCAACTGACCGCCAAAGGTGGAGAGATCTGATCAGACAGTCAACAGAAACTGGTGACCCAATGACACGTAGTGTTACGAGACGATGATAATTCCACAATTTTTGCTAATTTCCTGGCAGTATAAAATGCTTTAAAACAACAGTCCCATAAAATATCTTATTTCACACTGCTTTCAAACATTAGTAGTTACTATTCAACTTGCCTGCATAGTCAGATCCTGGATTTGAACCAGAGCCTGTCTCGCTGCCACTGTCCTGACTGCTGCCTCTGTGACGCTGCTTTGTTCTGTACAGATCAGGGGATGGAGGGCGGCGGCCACTGGGTGCTCCCAAAGACCCATCTAAAGTCCCTTGTAAAACGTTGCATGACACTGGGGAACAATATTCACATAAATATAACCCTTTATGTCACAGAAAAAAAAAAATTTCAGAACAAAGAGGTGTGTATGTGTTCCCATAACTGATGCTAGTTTTAGTGTGTGATGAGTTAAATCTCTCTATATTTTACTGTAGTTACTTAGTTAACTGGCTCTCACTGGGGGAAAAAATAGAATAGACCCAGCTCCCCTAAAAAGTAAGTCATCAAATAGAAACTAATATGGATCTGCTGAAATCATAAATTACACAGATCTGGCTAATCCGTATGCAGGCTGTTGGTTTCTCACCTTTCAAACAGATGCACTCCGACTTCGGAAGAATCATCCCTAATCAATTGCCTTTCAAGACATGCTTGTTAAAGGAGAAGTGGGTTTACTCTTGCCCCCCCCCCCCTTCCAAATGGGGCCCCAGAACCCCATGGGTAGGGAAGTATTAGGCATATGATGCTAGACTCATATTTGACTACACCAAGTGGCACTCAAAGGGTTATGTGGTCAATATCCCACACACACACAAATATCTATGCACACATCTTTTCCAGCACAGGACTGCAGGTTACACCGGGCTGGTTTAATTATTAAGAGTGTCATCCGCTTTTACTTCCCAGAAATTTACCTGGAACCCATTTTGGGTTCGAGTGACCCAGCAGCCATGGTATTTTTTTAAAAAGAAAAAAATAGACCTGATGACCTTCAGGCAAGTATCAAGCCAATCCACTCCCATTACTTACACATACTGGGACCCCTACTGCTGCCACAGAGTTCATGCACCATGTTGAGACCCTAAGTGTGATAAAAAAAGGTGACTGGACTAAATTATGTCTCTGTGTGGGTTCCTATTTTGGAAGAGGGAGGGGAGAGAGAGAGAGAGAGAGAGAGAGAGAGAGAGAGAGAGAGAGAGAGAGAGAGAGAGAGAGAGAGAGAGAGAGAGAGAGAGAGAGAGAGAGAGAGAGAGAGAGAGAGAGAGAGAGAGAGGGGGGGGGGGGGCACCCATTGCCCCCCAAACAAGCATGTCATAAAAGGTGACTATTACGGAGTTTCTTTCAAAGTTGAAGTTCATGTGCCTGAAAGGTGAGGAATCACTAGTAAGCCAGATCTGTCAAATGGATGTGCGCACAAAACTCATTTTCTGGATCAAGACAAAAAGGCCGGAAGTGGATGAACAACAAGAACTCTTTGCCAGAGTTTACAGCTGGTAAACACAAAGAAGACAAACAACTAAATTATGGACTTCATTTGTTTGGGTCAAGCATGGAATTTTCCTTCCACAAATAAAAGATGATCATTGGAAAGGCAAACAACTAAAGCACATGTTAGATCCTATTGTGTTAGTTAACTATCATGCATCAGGTGTAAAATGTCAAAAGTGCTGGTAACATATAAACAAACACGACATGAGGTGCTGGGTTAAGTGTTGACACTACATAAAACACTGGAGGAAATGCAATTGGTGCAAGGGCTGTAGCCTGTACAGGCATCTGTTAATATTTTCATGCCGGTTATAATGTCATCACTGGCCTCACACTGATTAACTCTTTCGGTTTAAAGGACGTTTAATTTAGTTATAAATCAATGTAGGGTGCGTTCCAAAGTCCCGAAATAGTTAATCTGTAACTAGCTTTGCACACACAGTTTGTTTGCGAGGTAAAAAACAAAACAAGAAGGGCTTTGCTATCATAAGACAAGCCATTAACTATAAAACAGTGCAGATTTTTAAAGCTGACTGCTTGCATCAACGGGTGTGGGACTGTTGGCGTTGGCACATTTGACAGCTGCCTTATGCATTTACTTTGTGTGTGCGAGCTTCAAGATTCTGCTCAGCCTGGCAGGGTTTTCACTAGTTTTCAAATGGGAGAGTGAAGGACATTTTGTGTGATTTCCACTGACTCAAGAATGGAGAAGTTGTGGGGCAATCCCTCTGCAGTGAAGCTGGAACCTTGACTAACGACTAACCAAATAACATTCAGACTTTAAATAAAGGTAGAGAGATTGAAATTTTGGCCAGTCAGTTAACAAATTCAAATGTGAAATCTATCACTAGCTTGTCTAATATCTTAGCCTGACATTGTGGTAACCTGAATCTCGCACTGACAACAACTTGTGATCCAACAACCTTCCGGTGTAATGGCACTACAATATGGTATAATATTCTTAGCTATATAACAGGAAGAAAAAATGGAAACAGAGACCTGAAACTAAGTGATTAACAACTCTGTTGAACATGAATAGATAGAATGTATTTCTAAATGTTGTGTTGTCTACCATACCTGCTTTCCTGATTTGACTAGGCGGTGGTAAGCGGGCATGATATGAAGACCGCATGGCTGAAACTACAAGAGAATACCAGCCCATACAAAATCAAATGAAGAATCAGAAAATGCAGGAAATTCACAAATAAAAAGGGAGTAAATTAAAAGCATTTTTAAAAAGTAGGTTGTAAAAAGTCAACTAAATGACCCTTTTCAAGCCATTGGTGATGTGGACTTATGGTGTTAGACACAAATTTGTATAGACCAACAGGCACTTGATGGGTGATGTTGTGAATATGTCCAACGCTTTAACTCTCCAAGATTTTTACTTGTTCCCATTTCAGGATTTTAAAGTTTATTTTAAATGAACATCATGGCTTCCAGGAAGACCCTGCCTAAAATAAGAAACAGGAAATGTTTTGGAACACAAAAGACAGCCAGTATGATGTTGATCACATCACCCACTTAGTACCTACTGGCATATTTACTCTTCCAGTACCAGATGATTTGGCAGCAAATGCCTGTATGGGGGTGGGTGGGGGGGGGGGGGGATTATAAATAATAAAGTATGATGGATATGACCAATTGAGTTGCCAGATTTTTTTAGCATGCTCAGACCAACTTTAAAATGTATGAGAACACATAATTGCTGGTTGTGATTCACGACGAGGATCACATTACACACTTTGCGCTGTCTGGGACTGAAAGAATTTTTAACAATATGGGTCTTACAGACAACGGCAAGAAAAAGGCCCTTTTATGTTAGATGAAGTTAATCTGGGAGGCTAAGTCAATAACAAAAATTAGACCCAACAAAAATGAGACCCAGTGTGGATTCAAACTCAAGACCTTTGGACTGGCAGGCAAGTGATCGCCACACTGTGCTAGCACAGCTCCTAAACAATAAATTATCAAATCAAATCAGCTGTCATTTTTATAAAACATATTGTTGCAATGGATCTCTTCAATTTTCTGTTTCTTTTCATTCTTTTCTCCATATTCTGCTTTATGCCCCTAGATGTCACAGGTTAACTAATAATCGGTATTCGAGCTATTGTACACTCGATTGCCCGTATGCTATGATTCTGTGGACTCTCAAGGTATCAGTGACTCCTTCAATCCATCTTCTTCTTGGTTGTTCCCTACCTCTTGATGTTTCTACTTTCATGATGTATGTTCTTGCTGCTAGCATCAATGAAGTCATTTTCATTACATGGCCAAACCATTCCATCTTTTTTTTTAAACAATTCCAGAGTATTTAGCGGTGAACATTTAAATCTGCTGCTAATCTGTTGGACACATCTTTTCATGATACAAGAATTTAACATATTCTTTCAAGTGTACCCATTCATTTGTCTTTTTAAGCCAACAACTGTCTTTTTGTGTAGCTGAGGCTGTACAGTGGGCTGAAAGGTCAAATCCATGATCAGGCAGATTTGTATAACTATCCTCCCAAATCAATCCTGCCAAAAATGGATACCAGGAAAATGTCATGGCAAGTTGTTATTTGTTGTTTGTCTTCACTGCTGTAAACCCCGGCAGAAAGACCTGATTGTTCGTCCATTTCTGCAGGACCTGAGTTGTGCGTGTGCATCTGTTTTACAGATCTTGTTTATTAGTATGCAGACTGTTGGTTCCTTACCTCTCAGGCAGATGCATTCTGACTTTAAAGGAATCCCCCAATTAGTTGACCTCTTATTACATGCTTGTTGGGGAGGCAATGTCTGTCTACTCTTGTTTTCCCCATAATGGGACCCTGGAACCCACACGGGAATCATGGGAAGTAATGGTGGCCATCATCTACAGAGGGCTGACTGGTCTAAAAAAAAATTTGGGTTTAGCATATCATGCCCATGTGTCAATATCATGGAAATGATCCTTTCCTTTCTATTTCACATTATCTTCTTGCGTGTCCCTCATTAAGACTTAAGACGCATAAATAACTGTATACAAGTAGTGAAACTGGAAGGGCAGAATTGTTAGTCGGCCTGTATGCCCAATTCCTGATGCTTTGAAAATAAAGTTTGTTCGTTCATTCGTTCTTCTGTCTCTTCCTCTAATAAGGTATACCATTTGTAAACTGTCTCTGCATCATACAAAAGTCTTTTTCCTGAATGCTGTCAGAATAAATGTGTAATTTTATTTTCCACAGCCTGACAAATATCTGTGCTATCACAATGTAGATCACAATATAAGAATAGCAACAATGTCGACCAGAAGAAAGAGTTTTTTTTCTAGTTTTATTCACGACAGGCTAGCATCCAAACAATGGCTCCTTGTTTGAATCACTGGATGTCAAACCTTCAGAATGCAGTTCCAAAAATACATGAAAAAACGCTTTTACAGTAAGAACTAGATAGTGATGAAACAAGTTTAAACCTTTTTAAACTGAAAGACTTAGAGAAGCAAATATTCAAAACCCATTAGATTTAACACAACATTGTCTAAAGGTTAAAGTTAAAAGTTAAAGTCAAGGGGAACGACTTCACTGTACCGGATTTTACCCCATATGGCTTGGTCTCTCTCCGCAGAACAACTAGCCACCTGCCGAGACTGCTGCGAACTCCGTAAAAACTGCACTTGTGAACCGAATGGAGCAGGCATGAAACAAACCCACGACCTTCAGAACGCAAGGTAACGGCTTGACCAATTCACCACAGAGACTACCATAACACTGTATACTGAGTTGCAGGGTGAACTAATGCAAACAAAATTTACTGACAAACTGATGATTCTTGTCTCTGATATTTTATCTACAGACTGCTGCTACCTACAATGTTAGTCACAATATGCTTGATGCAGTTAGTCTCAGAAAAGTTCCATAATAACAATAAATAAATCATGTCAATGGGTCAACATATATCATCATTTTAAAGTGCCTTGCGTCATTAACAGAAAATCAGAAACACATTAGAAAACAAACACTGGATACAACAAAAACAACAACAACAACAACAACAACAGAATTTCTTTGAACATCAAAACAGAACTGACAGGCTACCATGTTTCTCTTATACATAGGACACAGCGCACTCAACAAACACTCATATAAATTAGGTATGAGCCAAACAGCTGGCTGTCAGTATCTTCGTGCTCAACAAATCCCAGAACATGTCTTGCAAGACTGACCTCTCCTGAAGGACCTGTGGAACATATGGCAACATTGAGGAGGCCTGACAACTAAGCTTTGGGGAAACCTGACAGACCTCACACTGACATCCAAGTTTATGGCTCACTGTGGATTAAATGAATGACTAGAGATCGCTGAAGAAGAAAAAGAAGTGCCTTGCCGACTGGCATGGACAATCATGCTGCCAGACTTCTTGATCTTCAGCAGTGTACATCAGTTTGTAGTCCATGACTTGACAAATGACTGTTAAGAATCTTCCCTCATTATCCTATTCTGTCTCTCTTCCATGTTCCCACTTTTAAAGACTGCCTTCTTCTGATATTTGCGATAAGTCTTGGTCACTTTCAACATTTAGCCTACTCTTACTGGTTGCCTGTAAGCCTTCTGTAAAAAACCACACACCTGAGGCCTCAAATACTACACCACCAGGGCTTTTATCTAACGAAGGTGTAATGAATCAGTTAAGATGTGTCATTTTTATTAGGTCAAGCTGAGAACACACAAACTGAAAAAAAAAACATTTATTAATAAACATGTCAGTAGCAACATGGACAATAAGTGAACTTGTCGTCAAATCTTCACCAAAAAAAAACAACAACAACAAAAACATAACAAATAGAGAAACGTTTTTTTTTTAATTGAAAGTTTCATGCACAAAAAAAAGGTGATAGTGTAGCCACATAAGGTCAAAATATAACTATGTAATCCAAAGTAAAACACAAAAGGTCAAAATATAACTATGTAATCCAAAGTAAAACACATAAGGTCAAAATATAACTATGTAATCCAAAGTAAAACACATAAGGTCAAAATATAACTATGTAATCCAAAGTAAAACACATAAGGTCAAAATATAACTATGTAATCCAAAGTAAAACACATAAGGTCAAAATATAACTATGTAATCCAAAGTAAAACACATAAGGTCAAAATATAACAATGTAATCCAAAGTAAAACACATAAGGTCAAACAATGAAAATGCAAACTACAATATTATGGTTTGTTATTACCGTAAAACTCGTAGCCTCTACTTATATATTATTAGCGATCAATAAGGACTATCATTACAGCACTCTGGAATGATCTAAGCGCGCTGATCTCCTCCTCAATACAGATTATTAACATTATTTGTTGTTTACAAAGGCAGAAAGGCATTAGTGTTAGTTAGTATATGTGGGGCATGTCGCTTGTTTACAACCTTATTTTTGCTACGAATACCAAGAGAACTTTTCTGAGCAGTGCAACCAAAACAGAACTGATGTCGTCAGCCTCCACATGCTGCGGGATTTACTAAGGAGGGGATCTGAGCAGTTATGGACTGAGTGGTTCAACGTGCAATGAGGAAAATCTGCCTACTAACTAACTAACAAGCTTATTTTTGCTAAGATTACCAAAGTTATTCTTCTGAGCAGTGCAGCCTTGGGTTGCACATATTTACAAGCTTATTTCTGTTAAGATACCAAGGTTATTTGGTGACCAGTGCAGCAAAACAAAACAGTTATCACAAAATCTTTAAAAATAACCTCAGGAACCTTGCAGCACTTGTGTGCGCGTGCACGTGCAGATGTGTGTGTGTGTGTATGAGTGAGTGAGTGTGTGCGTGCATGCGTGTGCATGCTGCCACTTAACCTCAGAGTAGGTCTCCCCTCAAACCAATATTCCAAAGATTGGAACCTAGTTTTCAGGCACATAAGGTCTCTGGTGCAACTACATTACACGGGAATTCTACACATGGTTATTTCCCTCTTGGGCATCTACAAAATGTTAAAGAGTAACGGTTAAGACTTCTAAAACTGGCTTTGTTATTTTGTGCTGAAACGGCCACTTTAACTGGTCCCTGGTATTGCAAGAGGTAATTAATGTAAAAATATAAAAACCAATAACAAAAGCTTTATACTAACAGATATCCCCAACAGATAAAGAAATAATATAACTAATAGGGTAGGTCTTGATTCTGTAGAAGTACAATTAAAACATCAAACAAACTCAACCTCTTGAACCAAAACCTTGCATCAGTGCATCTATTTAGCAACATACCTGACATGATGTTTGGTGCAGACCTCCCTGGTGGATGTGCTCGGTCGGTCAAGTCCTCCTGAGAGCTACCGATAGAATCTGGAGCTCGGACACCTGGACAAAGTCAAGTTCAACAGATCATGCTCAACTCTATTGATGTTTGTCTTTAGCTAACAGTCCTATGTACTGGATTTGTCTGTGTATAAGACGACCTCTATTTTTTAAAACCTAAAGTTAGGAAATAAATATTTCAAACAATTATTGTGTATAAGACAGCCCCCAATTATAAAGTTAAAACATATGGGAAAACGTATACATAGAAAAATTTAGTATTTACAAACCACAGTAGCTCAGGCGTTAAATGCCTGTCTGTGAGCCTGAAGGTTTTGGGTCGAATCTGCATCAGAAATTTAAAAAACCAAACAAATTGGCCTTGGCTCCCAGCTGACCCAGCTAAAATGGGCACTAATAATGTTGTGTGAAGTAAAGATGGCCAGCTTGGTGTTGACCACCCAACAAGTGCCAATTGGTCTATTCAACTATGGTTCTAGCATCATATGCCTCATGTGCCACTGGGGGGAGGGGGTGAAAAAAAGGAACTCTACTATATATGACAAATTAAAATTCTGAGAGCATGCATTTTCCCAGTAGCAATTTACGGATGTGAGTCGTGGACCGTCTCCCAGTCCTTAAGGAAGAAAATAGGGGCTTTTGAGCTGAAATGGTATAGAAAGATTCTCAAAATACCATGGACAAAGAAAAGAAAACATACTGACATCTTGCAAGATCTGAACATCAAAGAAGATTGGCTAATAAACAGCATCTTGTATCAGAAGCTGAAATATTTTGGTCATATCAAGCGCCACAGCGCATAGGAAAAGTAACAGCAGAAGGCAGGGTACCAGCAGCTGACCAACATGAAAGATGGGCAGAGGATATAAGTGTCTCCTTGAATTTGAAAGTACACATGGCAGGAGAGCTGGCAAGACCGTGATGAAAGCGATGTACTGCAAAGTACCTGCTTCAGGATGATAATAAAAAAAACAAAAACAAAATGTACGTTTCTAAAGCAAACTACGCAGTCTTCATATTGGAGTTTGACTACTATATATCACTGCTAACTATGGACAAGTTACATAGTCTAGCCTCAACCAATGAAGAACCAAGAACAATAGGTACAGTACTAGGGAATGATTTCACAGAATCAAATGGTTTGGCCATCTGGTGAGAATGGAACAAAATCAGCCAGCAGTTAGAGCCTACTATATAAGAACAGCACACCGACCAAAAAAAAGATGGGTGGAGCGAGTAAAAGAGATACTATAGAAATGCAGTTTGACATCAACACAAGCTACATACACAACTAGTAGAAGACAGGAAACCATACACAACTCCTCTCACAACGCTTTGCGGCACAAACAGTAGGACAAAGGAAGAAAAACAAAGAGGGCCCCAACCTCTTCCATGGGACAACTCTCATTCCAGAATCTGAATGCGATGAAAAGAGTATTTTTCTAAATCCCCCCCCCCTCTTCCCCTCCTCTCCCCACCGTGGGTTCGAACGTTGATACATGTTGAGGAGTGCAGACTGAAACAAATCCACTAACCTCTAACTCAGTGGTTCTCAATCTTCCAAAAGCTGCCACCCTTTAATTCAGTTCCACATGTTGTGGTGACCCTCAATCATAAAATTATTTTCACTGCTACTTCATAACTTCAGTGAATAGGTGTTTTCCAATGGTCTTAGGTGGCTCCTGTGAAAGGGTCGTTCTATCCCCAAAAGGGGTCGTGACCCACAGATTGAGAACCGCTGCTCCAAGCCAAAGAGTTGCAGTCCACCATTTCACTTAAAAAAATAGCTGTACCTGCTTAATATTAAGTGGCAAGACCCCAACCTCTTCTATGTGACTCTCATACCAGTACTTGAAAACGATGAAAGGGGTCTTTTTCTAAATTACCCACTGTGGGAACCGACCCCTAGTAAATGTTGAGGAATGCATTGTGAAATGATTTCCCCTATCCTCTAATACAACCACAGTATACTGTGTCACTATTTTTTTTTAAATAGCTGTACCTGGTTCTGGAGTCATAGCTTTGGATTTGACAAACATGGACTTTGGTCGCTGTTTGCTGTTGGCACTTCCATCTCGCTTCTTGGAACGAGGTTTTGCTGCTGGTGCCTCCTCATCTTCTTGTTTCTTCTGGAGGTACTGCTGAAAAATCACCTCTCTTCTGGCTTTCTCTTCCGCTTTTTTCCTTTCCTGTTCTTCTTCTTTTAACCTGGGAGAATAATAAAATCTGGATTGGAAAATACGGTCAAGCTAATTTGTTTCCTCAAGATCTGGATTTGTGATAAAATAAAATGAAACAAACACATAGGTTAAAATCATGTAGATAAACAATAAGTGTGACCATATATGTATGCCTTGCATATCATATCAGCAAAAAGCACAGGCTATGTAAATAATAATATATATATATATATACATACACACATTTGTGATTTCTGTTCTCTGCTCGGGCCTTGGCAAGGTGTGTACAAATGCATCTGTTGTATCTTCACATGATTTGAACAAATATTTTGTTTCAAATTTAATTTTACATTGTCTTACACTGCTATAATCATAATCTTTCTTACAGTTGAGGAAGCACAGTGGTCAGCTCACCCCCTTTAATCTCCCTCTGGGGTTCTAGGCCCCATTTTGGGGGTGGGGGGGGGGAATGTTCCTAAAAAGCGATTCAATAGGCATTTGCTGAAATCGGATGTGTTGGGCAGAAAGGCAAAGATATCACAGCATAGTTGTAAACCACAACACAACAACGAGGGCTAACAACAACGAGTATAATTACAGCCCGTTCCAGCATTTGTAATAAACTTAGATGTCATTGAAGTTTTTATTGTTATCTTTGAAATGATGTATGAATCAATAACTGTATGTAAGGAGTCAGGCTAAAAGGGCAGAATGTTAGACGTGCCTGTGTGCCCAATTCTTAACCTTTTGAAAAAAAAGTTTATTGGTTCATTCGTTGACCTATGGGTGTGAGTCATGGGCAATGACAACAGCTCACAGAAGCCAGCTTCAGGCCTCAAAAACATTACGTCTGAGAAAGGTGGAGGTGGTCCAAGTGACAAGAATGGACAAAGTCCGCAATCAGACAATACGTCAAGATCTTGATACCCAGTCCTTACAAACCCGAATGGATCAGTCACAGTTACGATGGTTTGGACATGTATGCAGAATGGGAGAAAATCGGCCACCATGGCAGGCATGGGAGGCTAAGAACCAGGGAACCAGACCTCCAGGACGACCCAAGTTGCGCTGCGAAGACAACATCCGACAGTCATTAACTGACAGAGGACTGGAATGGAACAAAGCCAGAAAGAAAACTGCTGATGGAGACGTCTGGCGATCTCTCTGGCAAACCTCTACACCCGAAGGTAGAAGAGGAGTGACTAAGTAAGTAGGTTCATTCGTTAATTTGTTCCTAACCTGAACTTCAGTCTTTGTCCTTGATTAGCCCTTCCAAATAGAGACATGAAGTGTTTTGGTACCATAAAACGGCTTATATCTTCCTTGCCTAAACTAGTGGATTTCAACCTCGGGTGCTTCAAGAAAGTTTAGAGGAAAGAATCAAGTAATCTTGAAAGTGAGTTCATCTGTACTTGTAAAAATCTTTTTTTTTCCCCGGTTTCATTTTAAATATTTTGTCTTCTTTTTTTTTGTCCTCCTGTTTTTCATCACATTTTTTTTTCAAGTGGCATGAGGGGAGCCTTACCATGTCATTCAAGGGAGGCACCACCTGAAGAATGAAAAAAACTGGCCTGAACTAAATAAAGTACACATTTCTCTTCCGATTTTTCATCTCATATAGTTACATTACCTCCCTACATCAGGTTTGGTAATTTTACTCCTGCTGCATGGTGTTATTATTTTAACTTCTCTGAAATTTAAACTAGAACTTCTCGGTTTAGGAGTTAAAGTCAACACATGCTGGTACCAAAAGAGTTATCTAAACAGTACAGAACATCTTCACTACACAGGACCTGATCATTTCAAATATTTATAACAACAAAGTATCTGTGCCATCCAGCCTTAAAACAACAGGTGATGTCTTAGGAAGAAAAGGCCTACAAAAAAGCCTACAAAAAGGTCTAGAAAACTTTGAGACTAGCCTGATATGACCACTAGGTCACTGGCTTCTTGACTTACTTGACTATTTCTACTACGACAACATCAAAAGTACTCACTGTTTTTCTTCATGTTTTCTAGCCACTTCTTCCTCTTTTTCTATTCTCTTTTTCTCTTGCTCCTCCTTTCGTTTTCTCTGCATTTCCATTAATTTTATTCTTTTCTTCTGCATTTCATCCTCAACAACCTTGCAAAGAAAAAAAAAAACACTCTGCAACAACAACAACAACAAAAGTACACACACACACACACACACACACATATATATATATATATATATATATATATATATATATATATATATATATATCAGTGGTCTTAAATACAAAGCACCCAAACTAGAAACAGGCATATCATTCACTATGAATCTACACATTATAATTCTATACAGTTATGTCTTGTATGGAAGAGGATGATAGACTGTTGGCCAATTATATACAATAATTGTTATGTTTTGTATGGAAGTGGATGATGGTCTGTTGGCCTATTATATACAATAATTGTCTTGTCTAGTATGGGTATGGAAGTGGATGATGGACTGTTGGCCTATTATATACAATAATTGTCTTGTCTAGTATGGAAGTGAATGATGGACTGTTGGCCTATTATATACAATAATTGTCTTGTCTTGTATGGAAGTGAATGACGGACAGTTGATCAATTATAAACAATAACTGTCTTGTCTTGTATGGAATTATATACAACTATGTCTTTCTTGTCTTGTATGGAAGTGGATGATGGACAGTTGATCAATTATAAACAATAACTGTCTTGTCTTGTATGGAATTATATACAACTATGTCTTTCTTGTCTTGTATGGAAGTGGATGATGGACAGTTGATCAATTATAAACAATAACTGTCTTGTCTTGTATGGAATTATATACAACTATGTCTTTCTTGTCTTGTATGGAAGTGGATGATGGACAGTTGATCAATTATAAACAATAACTGTCTTGTCTTGTATGGAATTATATACAACTATGTCTTTCTTGTCTTGTATGGAAGTGGATGATGGACAGTTGATCAATTATCTTCTTTTTCTTCTTCGCGTTCACCAGCTGTACACTCTGGCGGAAAGTTCTGGTTGCTCGTCCACTACTGAACTGCAGTCACGCTCCAGAACCTGAGTGTTGCGTGTGCATCAGTTTTACAGATTTCATTCTTTTGAATACAGACTGTTGGTTCCTTGCCTCTCTGGCAGATGCACTCCGACTTCAAAGCAAGCTCCCCAATTAGTCGACTCTTACGACATGCTTTTGGGGAGGCAGTTGGTCTATTCTTGTTTTCCCCCACAATGGGACCCCGGAACCCACACGGGGGTGGCCAATTATATACAACTATGTCTCATCTTGTATGAAAGTGGATGATGGACAGTTGGTCAATGATATACAACTATATACTGTCTTGTACCTTGTATGGAAGTGGATGATGGACAGTTGGTCAATGATATACAACTATATACTGTCTTGTACCTTGTATGGAAGTGGATGATGGACAGTTGGCCAATGATATACAACTATATACTGTCTTGCATGGAAGTGGATGTATGGACAGTTGGCCAATGATATATAACTATATACTGTCTTGTATGGAAGTGGATGATGGACAGTCGGTCAATTATATACAACTATGTCTTGTCTTGTGCGGAGGTGGATCATAAACATTTGGCTATATGAGGACCAACTGTGTGGAAGCAGCGGAGATGTGGTTTGGTAGAAGAATGGGAGCACTATGGCTGGATTTAAAAACAAAGTAATGAAGATGTCTTTGGTTAAACTGATTCACAATGAGAACTGGTTGTCCACGTAGGAAGGAGACAGTGTTTTTTTTGTTATTTGGGCCTTTAACTATAGAAGAATATATTACAGATCATTAGGTAAACCCTGGAGCAGATGAACTGACATCTTCATCTTATTCCCTATGTGGGTTCCAGGGTGGCCATTTTGAAGGACAAAGAATAGACCCACACAAAAAAATTTACTAGTAATTGCAGTAACTGAAATAACAAAACACTGGTCAAACTCACCTGCTCCCTGACTATGGCAGCCTCATCTTTGATAATAAACCCAACTTTTGGGATAGAATCATCACCAGCGTGGTCACTCTTCTGAAGAGATGATGTGTCCAGTACAGCCTGGCCAGCTAAGGCTGCTGCTACTTTAGCAGTAATATCAGCAGTACTGAAGACATCAGTTGCACCCTCAAAAGAAATGCTGGATGCCTCCTTTTTAGAGAACTGAAGTTTTCTACCGATATTCTCCTCAGATTTCAGATTTGGCTGCTTTTGTGAGGCACCACCAAGTGAAACAAAGAAGTTGTCCACTGTGACAGTAGCACTTTCAGAATCCTCACTTATATGTTGCCTAAGAGAATCAGGTATTAGCTCTCTTGTCTGAGAAGTATCCATTAATGAAGGCTGGAAATCAATAAAGTCAGCAGCTGTTTTAGAGTCATGCATATAAGTAATTGCAGCTGATGGGTGCTGCTGCTGTTGCTGCAATGAAAGTACTTCGTGTCTGGCCACTGATGTTTCTGTCACATGCTGAGGTTCCTGCATCATCCCATGACGTAGGGATGGCGGCATGCTGGGAGGAACTTCTCTTGGTCCTGAAGAAATGATGCTGGGTTCTACACTAACTAGCGGCTGGGCTGCCCCCAGTTTTTCCTGCTGGAGGGACAACCTCATGATCTCTCCCTGCAGTTCTGTTAAGCTACTGTTGAGTCTGTCTAAGGACGAATCATAACCCAGATTATCCAACTCAGAAACTGCTGATGGAGAAGATGCAGCTTCTCGTGCGGGGATGGGAATGGGAGGAGTGACACTGTGAGTATGTACGCTCTTTAAAACACCTAAACTAGGGAAATCACGGTGAGATCCAGAAGGACCTTGGTTCTGATCCAGAAATCTAAAACTGTCTCCATCAATGTGGTCATGGCCAGGAGGTCTGTAAGAATCTCCCTCAAAAACATCTACTTCTTCTCTACTTTTTCCTCGAGCAGACACATTATCAGTTTTAAAATACTTATTCTTAACATTATCAATGGTCTGCTGAATACCCTCTCTAGAAAATGGCCTTGGTGCTTGAGATAAGGCTGAAGTATGTAAGGTTGCATTGACAGCAACAGATATTTCAGCCTGGGCCGTGAGAAGCTGTTGCTGTGTTTGGTCTAAATTTGCTGGTCTGTGAGCTGCTGCACCTCCAACTTTAGACAACAGGCTCTGTGTCTGCCAGTCAGTGAAGGCACTCTGACTTCCAGAGCCAATGTTCATTTGTACCGGGTACTGCTGAGTGCGAGACTGACTCCTGTACACGCCAACCACAGGGTGTCCTAAACGAGCCTGCAGCTGGGCTTGAGCTGATGTAGATAGGTACTCTGTTCTTCTTGTGTCTGGAAGGTCACACAATTCATCCTCATCACTTCCTTCTAAATGCTTGGAGACCACTCGCATAAAGGCAGCTTTACCTGCAAATATACCACCAGAATCAACAGACATACAAACACAGAGCCTTTTGTTTCATATATTTAAACAAAAACGAAAAAATTGACAATAAAAAGCTTCTAGTCAATTAAAATTATACATTCTAGCAACTGCTCCGATTTTTTCAGAGAGGTCTCTGTGGCAAAGTGGTCAAGCTGTGTGAGGCACATGCTCTGAAGGTCATGGATTCATTTCAAGGCTGCAGGGTTAGGTTTATGAGAGCAATTCACAGGAGCTTTGGATTTCATGGTTTGTAAGATGCTCTTGGCAGGCAGTTAGCTGTTCTGTAGAGTGAGACTGAGCCCTATGGAATAAAACCGGATGTAATGAGGTCACCCTCTCAACTTTGACTTTGTCAACAGTTTTTTTTTTTCTTTTAAAAGAAATGCTTTTTATAAGCCTGTTTTATTTCAATATTTAGAAAAAGTAACACTGTGTCTGCATTTTAGATAAATCAACATTAAAGCCCATATTTTACATGTTTGCGGTATAGGCATTGTTTAAGGCTGCAGGGCTGGTGCAGTCAACATAAACTGTGCAGGTTATGATTTTATTTTTGCCGCCAACAGGAAGAAACAACTGAGATGGTTGAGGGCCTATGCTCCACTGGGGGGGGGGGGGGGGGGGGGGGGGGGGGGGGGGGGGGGGGGGGGAAAATGGCAAAACAAGAAGATATTCTGGTCCCAAAACTATGTGACAAGTATGCCTGCACCTGATAAAGCCAAAGATTCGGATAAACTCTCCCTTTCCAAAATCTTGCTGAATAATAAAGTTAGTGTAGCTGTTTATTATCAACATATAAATATTGAAAACATGCCCTACTAACTGTTCATTCTGAAGTGACTTCCTTAATACTTTTACTGTTCTTGCCCCCCCCCCTCCCCGCAACTTTCTTCTTCCTTTTTTATATGATCACAAACACCTTGTTTCTTTAGCTCTTTTCCTTAAATAATACTTGTATTAGTCATTAAAAATTACCTTGAATACCATGTCGACCCAGCCAAAAATAGGTGCCGGTCATAGAAAGTAAAGGTAGCAGCCATAATGCTAACCGTACCACCCATCAATTACCAACCGGTCTATAAAAATATGAGTCAAACATCTTTTGCCGGATGTGCCACAGGTCAAAAAAGGCATTTAACTAGTCATGAAAATAGTCAAAAAGGTACTTTACTAGTTTTTAAAAAACAATAATCAAAATGGCATTTTACTAGTCAAGAAAATGGTCAAAAAGTGTACTTGTAAAAAAAAAATAATCAAAAAGGCATTTTACTAGTCAAGAAAAAAGTCAAAAAGGTGCTTTACTCATCAAGAAAATAATCAAAAGAGTATTTTACTAGTCAAGACAATAATCAAAAGGGTACTTTACTAGTTGAGAAAATAATCAAAGGGAACTTTACTTGTCAAGAAAAAATCAAGCTATTTAACTAGTCAAAAAAATCAATAAAAAGGTATTTAACTAGTCAAGAAAATAATCAATCTGACATAACATGATAATGCAGACCAATTAGCACTCACCCAGTCTTTGCCTCATCTTATTTTGCTGGATTTCCTGTCTGTGCTTCTTCCTCTCAATTTCTTTTCTCTTCTGCTCTAGCTTTAACCTCAGCTGCTGCAGTTCTGACAAGCCCAGGTCAACACCGTTGGTCTCAACCACTCCACCACCAGCTGGAGCATCTAATGGGCTACACAAGCCTGAAAAGTCAGCACAGCATTAGCAGCAGAAAAATCAGTCACACAGGCAGTAATCATATCAGACTTCATGAACACGCTTCAAAACAGGTAGAATACACTCTGAATAGATAGAAATCATTTGGAAAGTGCACTTAAGCTCCATCATCTGGATCTACACACCTGGACATACAGAGGTACAAGGTAATGAATCAGTGGATCAAGTGCAAGCAATGCACCATGTATGAGGAAAGAAGCCTGGAGACAACTGATATCATCAATCTTGTACGAATTTGACTAGAGGATAATGATGAATCTCTGATACTAACACAGTTGCATCACCTGGGAGTAAAGCAAGGTGAAACAAGTTTAATGTGCCTTTGATGCCGAGACAGGAAACATTATAATCAACTTCTTATAGAAACAGTCAGTAGAGGTACCTTGGAGTGGCTGCTGCATCCAAGGACTGAGTGTTATGGGTATGCCCACTGTGTAGTGATGTCAACTGTGATAACATAATATAGCAGCAAAATTGATTTTTAGTTTTGTTCAAAGCTGATATATGTAATACGCAAGACTTTTTTGTTGTTGCCACATTGAATTACACATATAAAAACCATACTGAAGGCAAGTGAGCAAGACACAGACAATGATACAAGCGGGAGTACAGGGTCTCCTTGACTTATGACCAAGTTCCCTTCCAACTAACAGGTCATATGTTGAGCTGGTTACAAGTCGACCTGGTTGTAAGGTGACCTGGTCGTTAGTCGAACCTGTCGTAAGTCAAATTTATATTTTTCTACGCTATTTTCATTCAAATGATTTGCAAAATTATATATAAAACACCAAATTAAATCTATCTACAAACAATTATTGTAGATAATGATAAAATTACACAATATTTACTCTACTGTATCAGTTCTGAGAACTTTATGACCCTGCCAATGCAGTTACCTTTCTATATTTACTATTTGATTTGTGTGTGTGTGTGTGTGTGTGAGCGGGCGCACGTGCATGCGTGAGATCATCAGTGAGGATGATCTAAGTTGCATAGGTCATAGGTTGAGGAAGTGTATACTTCAAAACATGGACCAGTGGCAGGTTTAGAGAGTATAACCAGGATGTGGGACAGAACTGTCAATGGTGATTCACCACTTAGAATAGTTTTTTGTGTATAAGGCACTCTCATGCCACCAAGCAATTCAGCACCTCTGCATGCCACCAAGCAATTCAGCACCTCTGCATGCCACCAAGCAATTCAGCACCTCTGTATGCCACCAAGCAATTCAGCACCTCTGCATGCCACCAAGCAGTTCGGCACCTCTGCATGCCACCAAGCAATTCAGCACCTCTGCATGCCACCAAGCAATTCAGCACCTCTGCATGGCACCAAGCAATTCAGCACCTCTGCATGCCACCAAGCAATTCAGCACCTCTGCATGCCACCAAGCAATTCAGCACCTCTGCATGCCACTAAGCAATTCAGCACCTCTGCATGCCACCAAGCAAATCAGCACCTCTGCATGCTTCCAAGCAATTCAGCACCTCTGCATGCCACCAAGCAATTCAGCACCTCTGCATGCCACCAAGCAATTCAGCACCTCTGCATGCCACCAAGCAATTCAGCACCTCTGCATGCCACCAAGCAGTTCGGCACCTCTGCATGCCACCAAGCAATTCAGCACCTCTGCATGCCACCAAGCAGTTCGGCACCTCTGTATGCCACCAAGCAATTCAGCACCTCTGCATGGCACCAAGCAATTCAGCACCTCTGCATGCCACCAAGCAATTCAGCACCTCTGCATGCCACCAAGCATTTCAGCACCTCTGCATGCCACCAAGCAATTCAGCAACTCTGCATGCCACCAAGCAATTCAGCACCTCTGCATGACACCAAGCAATTCAGCACCTCTGCATGCCACCAAGCAATTCAGCAACTCTGCATGCCACCAAGCAGTTCAGCACCTTTGTATGCCACCAAGCAGTTCGGAACCTCTGCATGCCACCAAGCACTTCGGCACCTCTGCATGCCACCAAGCAATTCAGCCCCTCTGCACACCACCAAGCAATTCAGCACTTTTTTGCCTGATAAATGTAATATGCGAGACTTTTTGTTTTTTGGCCACATTAAATTACACATATAAAAACCATACTGAAGGCAAGTGAACAAGACACAGACAATGAAACAAGCGGGAGTACAGGGTCTCCTCGACTTATAACCAAGTTCCCTTCCCTACTGCATGCCACCAAGCCGTCAAAAATGAATGGAACATGTAAGAGATGGCAGCATACCTGATTCCCCGTCTCCCGGCTGTTCTTTAATCAGCTTTGTGATAGTTGCTGGCCCATGTCCAGTATCCTGTAACATCAGAGCAGAAATAAGCGCCTCAAGTGTCATGTCTGAAACTCCTTTCACTAATACTAGCTATCTCTGAACAAGTGGTCTCTTAAGTACATATTTCCTATTAACCATTTAGCCCCTAGGTCGCCGATGCTTGTAGTGTACCCTCTGTTATACACCCTAGGGAAACTAAAATATAAGCTTTATGCCTTTGGACAGTCCCCCCCTTAGAAGTCTGGTGAATAGCACTGATTCTGTCTGCCCCTCTGCAGTATTTAGGGGGACCAGATGTGATTACAATTGCTACAAATACAATTGGGGAAGGGGTGGGGGGTGTTTGTGTAATAATGCTTTTAAAAAAACTCTTCTCATTCTTCTTCTTTTTATACACCCCGCCATACAGCATTGGAAGTTATGTCAATCCACAGTGTTCTATCTCATGTACTTTCAATCATTTCTAACACAGATGATCTTCCACATCATGCTGTCAAACTATCCAGCATCTTCTATTGTGGTATACTTCTGTCTCTTTTTCCCTCTGACTTTTCAACTATCACAATGTACCAAGTTTTCTCCTTGTAATGATGTGAAAAAAGAATGTAGATTGTCTCCTTCTGATGCGGACAATCAATTAAAGCCATTTTGATATCACAATTCATTTTTAGCCCTTGGTGGTCGCACAGCGATGGAATCATGGTATGAATCTGCATATTAATATTTTAGACCATTGGTTCTCAACCTGTGGGTCACGACCCCTTTGGGAGTCAAATGACCCTTTCACAGGGTTGTCTAAGACTATCAGAGAAGACATATTCACTGAAGTTACGAAGTAGTAAGCAAAATAATGTTGTGGTTGGAGGTCAACACGAGGAACTGTATTAAAATGTTGCAGCATCAGGAAGGTTGAGAACTACTATTTTAGACAGAAGGAAGTGTATGACATTTAATTCTCCACTTAGTTTGGGTTTACTGATTACTTCGCTTGGTATATGTCCTTAAAAAAGATTTGTTTAAAAATTGTATACAAAGAAATATTTTTTTTAAATTATTAGCGACCTCTCTAAAATGACTGCTTTTAAAAGGATGAGGGAGGTGGAGTGGATATTCCCAGGTTCTGAGCCTTTTCCTCCATGGTTGCCAGGGCGAAAGGGTTAAGCCTAGTGGGATACTGGCTAACTATGCCTATGATGCCTTATAATAACTATATAGGAGGCCCTCTAGTTCTTTCATCTGTAGCTTTTCTCTTTCTTCACTGAGATTTTCATAGACTTTCAAGCAATTTATATACTACATCCAGAAGAACAAGCCAATAAACATAAAACAACCATGCTAGGATATTCTAAGATGCGCACAAGAAAGGAGCAGCCACGGTAAGCACAGTGGCTAGATGACAGCATGCTTGTCTGAAGGTCTTGAGTTCACATTCACAGTGAGACAGATTTTTGGAAATAAATGGCTTTGGATCTCAGGTTGACCCAGCTAGAATGGACACTTCTACGACGAATCCTAAAAGAGACACGTTCAGAAATGACACTTCTACGACGAATCCTAAAAGAGACACGATCAGAAATGACAATATCAGGAAAGAAGTTAGGTTGGAATCAGTACTAAACTACACTGACCTGGCTGCCTCGAGATACGAAGTTAAGTGATACTGTGTATTTGTGTAGTATGGTCTAATCTATGTATGTGCTGAGGAAGGTTCCATAGCCGCAACGTTCACGTTTTGTTTGTGTTTGCTATATTGTGAAGCTCGCTGATATACTTTTAATTCGGTTTTATCTCTTTCCCTAAACAACATCAGCAGGCAAGAGATCAAATGGTTCAGACATATGCCAAGACTATCATCAGATAGTGCAATATAGAAAGCACTGTCACTTAAGAAATAATGGAAAGAGCTAGAGATCGACCATGCAAGCGATGGATAGACAAAATATCCGAGGTTGTAAATACCAGTAAGTACGTAGCACATACCAAGGCTTCCACCCTATGGCTCTTCAAAACCTAACGCTGAAATCCAGAACGAGATTAGAGGAAGAGGAAGAAGAGCAGGAGGAGGAAAAGAAGTAATAGGAGATGGGCCTGATGTTCATATAACCCACCCAGTACCAATTAACCTTCTAAACACATGGGTTTAGCCCTACAGATCCAATGTGTCACTGGCATGAAAACGCACTTGTACCATTTTGTAAACACAGACAGACATTTACCATATCATGCCCGTGTCCAAGTTTTTCCCTCAAGCGTTTCAGCTCAGCAAAGCTAGTGGTGGAGGACGGGGACTTGCTCAGAATGATTTCATCAGCAGTATCTGTACTGTTGCTGCCCTGCTGGTGTCCAGAGCTGACTGGAATGAACCTGCTGCCTCCGATAGTGCTGATGGCAGGGGTGGCTGCAAGACCTGACTCTCTCGCCTGAATACAAGTGTTTGGTTATTTTACACGCCATATATATAAGGTCAATCAGCGATCAAAGTAAAGTAAATATCCCTTTTCACGCCTATAGGCACATCGGGCACATGGAAAGAGCACCCATATTTTTATAGACCAATCAGCACTAGGTGGGTAATGTGGTCAGCATTACGCTAGCTAGCCATCTTTACTTCCCCAGGACATCCATCCCGATACCCATTTTAGGCTGGGTCGACCTGCGACACCCCATACCATGATAAAAAATCCACGCAGCCAGCAGTGGGTTTTGATCATGGTACGTTGGAATAAGCCGTCGGATTCACAACGAATCAGTGATTACATGACAAGTATAATTTTTGTTTCTACAAAAGCTTGCAGGAAAGAAAATAAAAGGATTGAAGAAGTGAGGACACACCAAAAAAAAAAAAAAGCCTGATACAGAGGCCAAGGAAGCAGGGCTGAATTCCCTCCATAATGTCAAAAGGATCACACAGGGCAGAATGAACTGGATGAATAAACTGCGAGCCCTATGGGACATATGATGGCATAATAGGACAGTGATGATGTTAAACATAGTGAGGGGAGGTGGTTACCAATGTGAGGGTCCACAGTTCGTTTCTCGGCAATAGCAGAATTTTAAGCTACCTGCAGACCTCTCATATAAGCATAGCTAGTGCCAGACAGGTCGACAGCATGACTAGTTGCAAGACCAGACTCTCTTGCCTGAATAGCTGAATAGAAGTTTTTAGTCAATATATTTATATACACTAAAAATAAGTTGATTAATCGGTGATTAAATTTCAGGTATAGGTAGGGGAGGTGGTTACCAATGCGGTTGTCCATGGTTCAATCCCAAGAGGTTGCAGGGATTTTATCGTACATGTATAACTCAGGAATCAGCCCAGCTTTGTAAAATATGTAAACGGTCACAGGGAAGGAAAGGCCAGAAGGATAACTGATCACTCAAACTTTACTTTTCTGTGACTTGTTATTTGTGAATGTGTCCACAGCTGACTGGAATAAACCTACCACCTCCACTTGTGCCAGATGTGCAACCATTGGGCTGCATTATTCTCTAGCTTGAGAAGATGTGTTTAATTAGTACACAAACATGAATCAACCAGCGGATCTGGTCAACACATTAAACTCAGATTGTGCCTACTAAAATCAACTTAAAACTGGTACTATTAGCTACCAGACAATGGGGTTCATACTGAGGGGAGGAATCTGATATGAAATGGGAAGGATGGAGGACTTTGGGGGCAGTTAATCCACAACACTCGACAGAATGATTGACTTGGGAGTTAAAATCAGCATAGCAAAAAACCGAGACGCACACCAGGCACAATAGAGGACTTGTGAATCAATACAGAACTGTTACTATTAGCCACCTGACGCTGATGTCCATATTGAGGGGAAGAACTGACCACCGATGGACATGTTCGGAGTGCAAAGATGACAACCCAACTAACTAATTCAACTCAGAGGAAAGGCAAGATGAACATATAAACAAATTGCTACTGGCACCAGCAGAATCTGAAATCTTCACTGGCTGCTGAAGATGAGTATGATGCACTTATAGGAATTTAACAATATTACCATTATTTCTGTTTTTCTATTATACAAGATGAGGCCCATTTCCTCTCTTTCTACCACCACCATATCTATCAGTCCATGGAACCCACTGTAAGTAAACACAAGCACAGTAAACGCAGCAGCCTAACCTGATATTCTTGGTGAATCTTCTTTGACTCGTGGTCTGCATAGTCAGCCAGAGCTGAAATATTTCCTTCCCTGGGACTGTATGCATCAGGTTGGTGTGCCCCAGGTTGGTGTGCAGCTGAGGCCAAGTCTCTAGCGCTGGGGATCACTGAAGCTCTCGGTGACTGAACTCCGCTGGCTGGGTCTTCCAAGGTAAAACTGCTCACTGTGCTCGAGGCTACAGGAGATGAAATATTTAGGGGGAAAAGTATGCATAAAAATGGTATGCACATATACACAAAAATATTTTTTAATATTTCTCTTCTTCCTCTTCGTATAATCCATGCCACGTGGTGTTAAGAATGATGTCTTTCCACAACCTTCTGTTTCACGTACTTTCAATCAATTCTGACATAGGTGATCATATATGCCATGACACCAAAGTGTCCAGCATCTTCTCTCGGCCCCCCTCTGCCTCTTTACCCTCTAACTTTCCCACCATCATGATGTACTCTCTCTAAAGAATTTTATTCGTATAAAAGTATATATCTAAATTCTAATGTTTTGAAATGACAGAGCTCTCTGTGGTGCACAATCTGGTGGTATCTTGTACATGGCAGAACCATCTAATCTATTGTCATGACTATCTTTTTCAGTAAATTCTTAGGAAATTTAATTAACTGATATGCATACCTGTAAAGACGGTCAAACACATTAAAAAGCAAACAGACAATAAACAAGCAGACAATAAACAAGCAGACAATAAACAAACAGACAACAAACAAGCAGACAATAAACAAACAGGCAATAAACAAACAGACAATAAACAAACAGACAATAAACAAACAGACAATAAACAAACAGACAATAAACAGACAATAAACAAACAGACAATAAACACCTACTTGGTGCCAGCGATGAGACATTTGTTTCATCCGATGACTCACTAAGACTGACGTCAAGGTCATCACTCGCTGCTGGCTGCAGCAGCAGCATCTGATCTCGAGACTGCGAATACTGTGGCGGAGATGATGAGGTGACTTTCCTCTTTGAGATCATTCTGCTACAATAATAAACATGCAAGGGAAGTTGTCAACCGCAGTGAGACAAATAGTATTACAGAGCGCTATACACAACCTGTCTTGTTATATGCATGACTACTTCTTCCTCGTGTTCACCAGCTGTAAACTCCAGAGGAAAGTTCTGGTTGTTCGTCCACCTCTAGATATTAGTCTTGTTCCAGAACCTGATTGTTGCAAGCACATCCATTTCACAGAATTGATTTACTTGTATGCAGACTGTTGGTTCCTTGCCTCTCAGGCAGACCCACTCCGACTTTGAAGGAAGCCCCAGTTAGATGACTCTCACAACCATGCTTGTTGGGGAGGCAGTGGGTCTGTTTTCTTGTTTTCCCCCACAATGGGGTTTGGAACCTACCCGGGGACTTACACACATGTGAGACATGAGCTATGAGCAGACAGGTTGGAGAAGTCATTTCATGGAGTGACTGTCCATGTACATGTGTGTATGAAAGAAGAGAGTTGAAAAGGCAACAAGTAATACCTTTCTACCTTTACAAAAAATGTTTCTGGTGTCCCGGTCCTGAACAAAGATAACACGTTGGTATTTCAGAGATATGACTTTGTCTTTTCTTTAATTCTGTGTATTTGTTTTTCAAGATACTCAGTGTACCATGGATCTTTGTCACAAACCTCTTTGTCGCCATATGATAAACTGCAGTGTAGGCAGGCGATAGTTTTGCCTTTATAAACTGTATGCCTTCTGTGTCTGTTATCATACAAAAGCAGTGAATTTTGTATTTCTTTCTAAACATTGGCCATACAACCTCTGAATAATTAATATCAGGCACTTTAATGAAAGGGAGCCGCCGTGGTGTTTGTGGGGTGGGGGGTGGGGGAGTTTAAGCCTCAGGATTTAGGACTGCATGGCTAGTGCTGTCACCACGACACTGCGTAGGGTAGGATGTTTATTTCTGCCCCTGACACATGCGCGCATAATCACCTTACTGGGAGTTGAACCCAAATCTCTCACATACCTGAGGTTGTAATCACTAGGCCAGTTGCTCTGCCGTACAAATGGTAAATAGCAGGCAGCAAAGACCACTTTTAAAAATACTCTGGTTGGACAGTATCTGACATTCTACACTGGATGGATGAAGAAGAAGAAACTGGTTGGACAGTATCTGACACTCTACACTGGATGGATGAAGAAGAAGAAACTGGTTGGACAGTATCTGACACTTTACACTGGATGGATGAAGAAGAAGAAACTAACTACCTGTCTCCCCTCTCTTGCGCTTTGCTGACAGTCTCTCTTTCCTTGGCTGGTCTCATCATCGCTGGCAGCAGGGGCTCCAGTCTGTGGTCAGTATATGACACTACTGGTGTTTTACTCTGCCTGTGGTCAACGTACTGTTGTGGAGAGGCTGAGAAGCGAGACTGTCCAGTGGTGACACTCTCCAGTTCCATGTAGTCTGGATGGTTAGGGTCACAAGTGGCGTTCCTTGTGAACCTAGGAAAAACAACAGGTATGCACAAATGAAATAGTGATCAGGTGAGGCAGCATTCCTTGTGAACCTAGGAGAAAAAAACAGGTAGCCACAAATAAAATAGTAATTAGGTGCAAAGGATAAAGTGTTAGTTTGGTTTTCTAGTCATAGAAGAGCTAATAATAAATAGGGCTGTACCGAATATTCGCTTCGTATTCGCTTCAGGGCCGAATAGTGGACCTAATAACTATTTGGTATTTGGCAGAATACTTGTGGTCGGGTCGAATACAAATAGTGGTTACCTTACACCCGTTTCTGCATACACTGCGATGGACTGAAATAACTCTCTCATTAACACAAAAGTTGATGTTGCCTTAGTCTGTCGCTGTGGTAGCGGGGAAAACTGCGATCCGGTTGCGTGGTACAGCAGCTGGCAAGGTCTTTGCCTGCTGACTCGACCGAGCCATTACAGAGGTTCTCAAACTGGGTGCGTATGTCAGGGGTGCCGTGGCGAAAATCAAGAAAAGTCGGCTATAAATTGTGACATTATTAAAGAAGGCATGAAGATACTTAAAAGTTCAAATTTAAATTGTCTTTCCTCGCCACTGCAGAAAATAGTTGTTTTCCTTGTTTCACACTCAAAGTGTATCATACTGAATAAAATGCCAACCACAGCGTGCTAAAAATTGTCTTTTCAATTTATCTCGAGATGCGAGCAATTCTCCATCTGTATTCGTGAAGGTGCAGCGGATAAGTAAGGTTGTAATTACATTTTGGCTGAAATTTTAAAGTGGAAAATGTGGTGTGTACAATCGTAACTGTTAGCCTCGTCAAGTAAGCACTTATATTTAAACTCTCTCACTCTCTCTCTCTCTCTCTCTGTGTGTGTGTGTGCGTACGTGCGTACGTGCGTAGGTGCCTGCCTGCCTGCCTGCGTGCGCGAAAGAGAGAGAGAGAGATCATGCATTTTTTCGTTCTCTCAGGGTCTCTTTGCCCAAATCAAATTTAAAGATATTGCAAACGAGAATATGAAGGTGCGGTTAAATTACAGCGAAGGAACGGCCAAGCAAACGATGGTTTTGAAAGAGGCGAAAGCCCAAAGACAACTAATCACAGACATCAGAAGGAGACAGTCATCATTTTTCGACCATGTTATGAGAAGAGGGAAAAAGGATCATGTGGTGACTACTGGAAAGATCTGTGGAAGGAGGGATAGAGGAAGAAAACAATTGAAGATTCTTGACAGTCTTGTTGCATGGCATGGAGGTGTGTCGGCACATGAACTAATACATGCTGCAGGAGATCACAGATTGTGGCGAAGCATAATCGCCCATGCCAGTCGGCAAGGAACTTGATCATGATGATGATACACTATTCGTATCCGGCTGAATAGTTGGTCCCGCTATTTGTATTCGGCCGAATAGTGAAAATGACTATTCCGTACAGCCCTAATAATAAATGAGGTAAACATTACTTCTAGATATAGACAGAGGACAAAATATTTACTTCTAGTCATTAATAAATGAGCCATTTTAAATTTTTTCTTCTTAAAAAAAAAAAGAAAATAATCACTTCTGGTCATAAACAGATGGGCAGCAGCCGTGGTGTAGTGGCTAGATGCCTGTCTGCAGGTCCAAAGGTTGTGGATCCTACCGGAAGGGAGTTGGACTTTTTTTTTAAAAACCATCTTAACTCCCAGGTTGACTCAGCCTTACATGGGTACAAGTTAAAGTCCTGGGAAGTAAAGGCCGCTGGCAGGATGTATGAATAATTTTATTTTTGCTCCCGGACATGAAAAGATTTCAAATTTTACTGAGGATCTGAACCCAGGTCTCATGCACGAGAGCCCAGTGTTCTTAACCGCTTGGCCAGCCACTTGAGACTATTCTTTATCAGTAATTATAGGTGAGACATGCTTGATTTGTATCCAGAAAAACACTGCTCACAAGAATATGACCTCTATTCTTCTTCATCCTCTTGCTGTGCTGTTATGTCACATAGGAGTTGAGTGGAGTCAAGAACTGACATCACAGCACTCGAGGCATTCCCATGTGTGCTCCGTTCTCATCTTTAGCAGCCAGCACAGAGTTCCAATACTGACGGTACCGGTCACAATCTGATTATATGTCCATCTTGCCTTTCCTTTGAGTGTAGTAAGCCAGCCAGACTCTCTGGTTATACCCAGGTGCCTTATTCTCTCCAGGCATTATTAATAATCTTGTTTGTCTACTGATTCTGTTGCTTGTTCCCAAAGGGCCTTGACTACATCTTCCTTGTGTCACAGAGGACTTACCGTTTAGTCCTTCATTCCACTTTATCCTGTGCAAACTTCTGATATAATTGATGGAATCCAGCCCGGCACCCCAAGCCCCTCTCAACGTTTGTGTCAGTGTATCCCTTGAACACCCTCATTTCCTGAATCCATTTGTTCCCCATTTCACTGCTTGTTTAGCGTATGTACAGGCTTCATCTAAAAAATTCACCACTGTGCCAGTGTGTGTCGGCAAACTCCAAAACATGACCTGCAAGAATGTCTCCTCTGCGGCCCATTAAGAAGGGAATACTGGCCCACTGAGTTAACACTATACACATAGTTGCATGGAATTAAAACTCTTTAAAAAAAAAGGTCAATTTTATCACAAGAACTCGTCTGTCAGTGTAAATCAGAAAGTGACCACAAGAAGAAGAAAAAAAATTTCCTGTATGGAGATTCTCTGTCTATCTCTCCTAATGATGTGCCCAATATATGTATTGCCAGCTTCCTTCTTGTACAACTGATGATGGTTCTAGTCATATGTAGCTGAAGTAGTCAATACATCTAATAATATCTAAGTGCCTCAGTAAGGTACCTACCTTGGAGTATCCAGCTCACTCAGATCCAAGCTAAGACTGTTCTTAGTGTTGAAGCTTTCATTAAGCTCAGAATCAATGCTGACATTTGCCAAGAGATCTCTGCGACCAGATCTGCTACTTTCTCTTTCATCATATCTTACAAATAGATGCCAAAAAAAATAAACTATGACAATTCAAGAAAGCATGTTAATGTGTATGACGTTAAAGAAACAACAAAGGTAATGTAATATGCCCTGTAAAACTAGCATGAAGAGATCATCATTGAGGAGGGAGGGGGCATCAAAATCTGCTTTGTGCTACTAGGCATTATAGCTGAACAACTGACAGGCAGCCGAGCCGGGAAAGCTCAACTGCTGGGTATGCTGTAATTTTGTGAATTCTTAGGTTGTCACTGACTCCTTTAGTCCATCTTCTTTCAGGACTTCCTCTGCCTCTTAATGTTTCAATTTTCATGTATTACACCCATTGTTGGCATCATCAGATTCATTCTTACTAGGTGGCTGAACCATTTCACTCTTTGTTTCTAAATGAATTTAACAATGGGTACTGTTCCAATAATTCTATTAATTCCTTAATTTCTCACAAATTCACTTCTAGCATTCGTCAAAGCCTTTCTCAAACAACTCATGTCACAAGTGGTTAGTTTTCTCTTGTGCTATTTGATTAATGTCCAAGTCTGAAACTGGTAACCCAAAGTTGGATTAAAAGATTGCATTTAGAATGTATCTTGTTATCTCTACTGGAATAGCTGGGTGTTGCAAGACTGGCATAAGCTGAAAGTGGATTCTTGTTTCTATCTCACAGTCTAGCCAACCACTGTATGTAAAGATTCTCCCCAAGTTTTTAAATTCTTGCATTTGCTTATTTTCTTCTTATAAAATTATTTTCAATATACACTTTCAGTTTGTAAGTTAAAATTTTTTACAGAAGAATGCTTAGAATACCTTGGACAGCAACCAAGAGGTTTTGAAAGAGGCGGGAGTCCGAAGACAACTTATCACAGACATCAGAAGGAGACAGTCATCATTTTTCGGCCATGTTATGAGAAGAGGGAAAATAGAACATGTTGTGACCAATGGAAAGATCTGTGGAAGGAGGGATAGAGGAAGAAAACGAGAGAAGATGCTTGACAGTCTTGTTGCATGGCAAGGAGGTGTGTCGGCACACGAACTGATACATGCTGCAGGAGATCACAGATTATGGAGAGGCATAATCACCCACACCAGTCGGCAAGGCACCTGATGATGATGAAGTAAAAGATAGATATAAGGCATGTGTTCTTATTATGCTTTAAATTATTATACGCTGATATATTATCAATGTTAGAGATTGAGAAATAGTTGGGTTCTTGATACCTGGTCCAATGCCTAAAACAATACATCAGCCCGATTCAGAAAAATGAACTGCACATGACAGATTATGGCAAAATTTAAATAATGCATTTGTAAACTCTTTTTCTTCTTCTTCTATGTTCACTCTTAAAAAAAATATTGGCAAATTGTGCTACGGTTTACAGCTAGGTTGTAATATCTGTGCCTTCTGGTCCAATATATCTGATTTCAACAAACTGTTAGTTGCTTATTACTGAAGTGGTTGAGGCATATTGAGAGAATGTCAGATGACAGAAAAGTGAAAACTGTATACACAAGGGAGATCAATGGTTGAAGACCACGAGGCAGACGAAGAAGATGATGGAGAGATAATGTCCAGACAGACTTGCAAACACTTGGTGTCACAAACTGGAAAGAGATGGCCAATATGATTAAAAAAATGGAGGAGGGTGTATCTGCAGCAATGAACCTCAAGGGCTCGGAATGCGGAAGCAGAAAATGTTAGTCGCTGATAACATGCCTCTTAAGGACCAATGGGTCTAGTCTTGTTACTTCAAATATGGGAACCCGAGCCTCTGTGCAAGCTCTACCTCACTATGTTAGTCTGTAAGTAACAGACTGAGCTGGTGGTAAATTCACTACCTGTGGGGTATTTTCTGATCATCCTGCCACGCCAGCACAGACTTGTGGACTGTGTCGCGATCTTGCGGTGAACACAACGACAACGTTCTTCTGCCAGATTTTCGAACAATCGGAGGTGATCCAGAAATTCTGGCTTCTTCCTGCGGGATGCTGCGTCTGCCTCGTCTGGGAAGCAAAGGCTGATGAACACTGAAAATTGGTTACAGATATCTATAGAAGCATTTAACATGACAAAACTAACAATAACATATCAAAATAAAACAGCATTTAAAGAAAGAAAAAAAAATTTTTTTTATCACACACTGAACAGGCACTTACTGAAAATTTGCAGAAGCAATGAAAATAAAAATGAGCAATCCCAAGTCGTGTAAACAAAAAGAATCATGTGGTTAATCTCGGACTTCCATGGTGAGACACAGTTTATCAAGAGACTGTGATTTGTGTACTTCAGTTTAATGTTTTCATGCTTTGTACTTTGTTGTATGTTGATGTTAATCTCTGTTGTAATGCTTCTGAAGAGATTTACTTGGTGGTGAGCATACTTTGGATCTTTTCTCCAGGCCATGCCGACGTGGTGGGTAATGAATTGGCAGAGTGGCTTGATATGCAACATTGTGTGGTGAATTGATATATGACAAGGCAGATGTGGTCAAGTACCTTTGGGAACAAGCAACGGAATCAGTAGAGAAACGATTATTATGGCCTGGAGAGAATGAGGAACCTGGGTGTAACCAGAGGGTCTGGCTGGCTCATTACACTCAGAGAAAAGGCAAGACAGACATATAACCAGATTGTGACCGGTACCATCATTATTGGAACTCTGCGTTGGCTGCTGAAGCTTAGGACAGAGCATGCATGGGAGTGCCCTGAGTGCTATGATGTCAATTCTTGACTCAACTCAACTGAAGAAATGTAGTTAAATATGCCAGACAGTAAACTGTACTATATTGTGTGTCCACATTATTTAACTCCCAGTACCAACCAGCTCACTCTACATTTCTTGATCATTGCAGGGATAATGTAATATTTTTACTGTCCTCTATTACAGACATGTTTTGCTAACAGGCTGTACTTGAATTATTAGTTAACTTTGTTAAACTCACTCAGACCAAGAATGTACTACTGCATAAGGCATTAAAGTTAAATCTGCTTAGAGATAAAGAGTTAAATAACAAAGGCAGAACATAGCAAAATTAACATTGTATGCATTATTTTAATGCAGTAAACTTAAAACAGTCACCTAACAATTAACTATAGCTGTGGTTCTACTGAAAAACATCCAGAAATAAAAGACAAAGGACAAAATAGAGCCATAGGTACAAACAGATAGGCAACATCAAGGCATGTCTTCTTCTTAGCGTTGACCGGCTGTAAATTCCGGCAGAAAGTTCTGGCTGTTCATCCACTTCTGGACTTTACTCTTGTTCCATAACTTCAGTTTTGTATGCACATTTGCTTTACAGACCTGGCTTATTTGTATGCAGACTGCTGGTTCATTGCCTCTCAGGCAGATGCACTCCGACCTGGAGGAAAGCCCTGAATTAATCGCCTTTTATGACATGCATCACGACTGGGAGGCACTGAATCTATTCCACTCCACCATTTTTCCCCCAGTGGGGTCCCAGAACCCATATAGGGAATTACTGAAATAAAAAAACAAAGGCAGAATATAGTAAACTGAAAATAAATTTTGTATATACTATTTTAAAGTAGAAAGAAAGCTTAAACAATCACCCAACAAAGCATTAACTATAAAGATATTTTTACTGAAAAAACAAAACTAAGGGCAATAGAGATACACAGGATACAGACAACATCAAAGCATGTCTTCTTCTTCTTTGCATTCATCTGTGGTAAGTTCTGGTTGTTTATCCACTTATGGTCTTGAGTTTTGTTCCAGAACCTGAGTTCTGTGTACACATAGCTTTTATAGATCTGGTTTATTTGTAAGCAGACTGTTGGTTCCTCACCTCTCAGGGAGATGCACTCCGACACATTACTAATTTATACGTGACTCACACATTTTCACTTGCTTGTTCGTCTTCTACATGACACCCCATCAGCACATTTGACTCCTATCTTTTCAACGATCAATAACATAAATTCACAAACATTTCTGCACGACTGTCTTTATTTACCTGGGTGGGGAGACTGTTGACCGCCCCATGCCCAAGTTGTTTGCTGTTTCTTCCAAGCTCTGCCTCTGGAAACTTCTCTTGGTCACTAGGCTGACTGGAACACTAGGAATTACTTTTCCTGCACTAGCAACCACTGCTGAATAATTACAAATTAAAGATTGTTTACAAAACATAAATCTCCCCACCCCCCTTCTCTCTCGCAATCTACCTGATGGTTGACTGGAAGGGCTGAATGTAAGACAGGCCTGCGTGCCCAATTTGTGAGCCTTTGAAAATAAAGTGTTTGTTCTATCTCTCTCGCTCCCCCCCCCCCCAATCACTCCCTCTGAAAAACTTCTCTTGGTCACAAGGCCAATTTGAAAAACATCAGGAATGGCTTTTCCTGTTGGCAGCAACTATTGTTCAGTTTTATACAAATCAGAGATTGCTTTTAATAACAACCCAAAAAAATCATAAGCCCCCTTCTCCCTTCTATCTCCACCACCCCATCCCCAAACCACATCACCCCCATCCACACTACCAAAGGAATTTAACATGAATAATACATTATATATAATGTTGCAATGAAAGAAGAGGTGGCTGGAAGAACTGACAATGTATCAACAACATAAAAAACAAACAAACAAACAAAAAGCTGAATCACTTTCCTTTTAACTGTCTCAGAAAGCTGCTAAAAACCACGAGGCAAGATGTCTCCATCTGGGTTTAGGGGTCTTATCCGGGGTGGGGGGGGGGGGGGCACAGAATAGACCCACTGCCCCCTTAACATGCATTTGATACAAGGCAACTAATTAGGTGTGTTTTTTTTTCAAGTCAGAGTTCATCTGCCTGACAGGTAAGGAATGACAGTGTGCATACAAGTAAGCCAGATCTGTACGGATGTGCATGCAAAACTCAAGTTCTGTTTAGTTTTCCCTGAACACTGTGGTCTTTAACAAGGCAAAAATGCTGAGCACCCACACGATAGTCTCAGCAAATCCAATAGCATGCACACATACAGTAAATGCATGAGGCAGTCATCACAAGTACCAATACAAACAGGCCCACAGATTAATAGCTGCGCAGGCAATTGATCACATAAGGCACCACTAGCGCTGTGGCAACAGGACATTCACCATTTTTTAAATCTAAGTTTCACAACGAATACTACATGGGGCACAGTTGTAATGCATTCAAAATGAAATTGGCAGTTCACAGTGTCACGCCACGCACTCAACTCAGTAGCTCAGCCACGAAACTATTGCTGTACAAGACATATATGGATGACACAGTCCTCAAACATGGCACAATTCCACTTCTAGTGTTTCTTCCCTCTGTTGTCTGCACTCATCATCATTATCCTCATGTCCCATGCTGGTAGGCTGTCGTGTTTCTCAATCGTACATGATCACCAGAATCATGGATCAAGTCAATGTTTTTTGTCTCGCCCTATTTATCTGGTCACACCATTCAGGAATTTATTTCTTTGGCTTCCTCTTGCTTTCCTTCTATCAATCGTTGCCGGCTATTACCAAGTTATTGAGGTTACTTCTTCTCCAGCGTGTCCAAAAAAAAAAAAAAATACCCTGATTGTCTACGCCTAATGTTCTGGTAAGTTTTAGACTTTCATGTCTCAATGAGGACTACTTAATTTGTTTTTCTATCCATCCATATTCTCTGCACTCTTCTCAAAACCACATTTCTGCAGCGAGTAAATGTTTTCCAGGTTGCCTGCTTACTGTCCAAGTCTCACATGCATATAACAATACAGGTTCCATGAAAACAACACAGGTTCCAAGATAACAGCACGGGTTCCATGAAAACAACACAGGTTCCATGAAAACAACACAGGTTCCAAGAAAACAACAAAGGTTCCATGAAACACTTCTTTTCTCACTGGAATTGACATCTCTGCAATGTCCATCCACATTACTCAAGAATTTTTCAGGCTCAAATTGTACTCATCAGCCAACTCTGTATGAATTATTAACTTTTTTTTAAACAGATGCTAAATGGTCTTTATTACTTGTGTAATGTATCACCTCCATACCCAGTCTCCCTCATACAGATTCGACACTAGCTCTGTTGTCTAGGGGGGCAAGATCACAGTACAGACGAGTCAAACTTCTCTTCCGATCAACTATCACACGTCTCCGAATGACAGTCGACGAAGGTTGACAGCAATTCACAGGTTTATTATCAATACAACACAATAAGCAAGAATCAACATTAGAGCCGAATACTTACGCCATTCTGACAGGGTTCTCTTGCTAACACTCTACAGCCATGATTCAGACGATGGACACTATCATGTACACGACTGAAACCACCAACAGGCCATAGAACACAACTGCTGTCTTCAACTGTAATTCAATACAGCTTCACTCCTTGCCGTTCAGGACTAACATTCATTCGCATTCCATCCAGTTTCCCTTCTTTCACTCTCGGGTCCGGTCACAGAATGACAAGTTTCTCTTACCTCCTTTGCCTCGTGTTGCCCAAGCAAACCCATCATATTTCATGTTCTTCCTTTCCCATGCTAACCTGGTGCCTTGCAACGTGGACTTCCCTATTTCTAGTAACCATCAGACCCCTTATTCTATTCCCAGATTTAGCACTATTACAACTTGTAATGGACGAACAACATCTATAAATTATTTTAACATCAAAACTGATAAACAAGTTGCAATGTAACACAATCAGCTTGCGACAGGTGACAAGGTCAAGGATTTCACAGAAAAGTGTGACTATGGAACAAACAAAACATGAATTACCTTCAGATTTTTCTCTAAGTGGCTTTACTTCACTTAGCCCCGTGTCTGCATCCTGAACGGAACCAGGTCCCTCAAAATAAAAGAAAAGATCAGCAAGAAATGCAATGATGTTAGGTCTCATTCCCTCATGGGAATACAGCAGGTCTTCATACGAAAGATGGAAGCATTTTCCAGGAAGGTGGTGTCGACAAAATCTTTTAATTTGCCGTAAATTATGTAGAGAGTCAGCAATTCCAATGTCCTTCTTCAAGCAAACATCTGTAATCAAATAAAACAAAAATACAAACTTAAAATAATAAATAATAACGGTCCTTTTTCTACGCCTTTAGGTGTAAAGGGCTAGACCTATATTTTTATAGACCGGCACAAGATGGGTGATCTGGTCAGCATCACGCCGGAAAATCTTAAAAGTCTTTCAGAAGTGAACATAAATAATTCTTCAACTCTGATAGCTGTTAGCATCAAGTGGCTGATCAGTTAAATTACCGGTCTCATAAATGTGTACATTTGGGGTCTAAACCTAAGTAGGACAACATATTTTTTTTTAATTTGTTAGAGTTAAAATGAAATAGAGGTCCTTGTGTGGATTTTGGGGCAACATTTACAGGGAAGGGGTGGGGGGGGGGGAATCCAATGCTTCCTTAACAAGCATATTGTAACAAGATTAATTCAGGATTTGTTTAAACCGACGTCATGGACTGAAATGGCACCAGATATCACAATACACATGTGCCAGCCTCCTTTTTAAAGGTGAACGCAGAAGAAGAGACAAGAATGTGTTTTCCTGGGTATATTAGGCACTATATGCCTCTTCTAGCCTGATGATGTAACTATGGGGAAAAAACTGTCACCATGTGAAGAAGAATTTTTTTTTAAATTCTGTAATAGATCAGAAAAGTTTCCCTTTTTAAAAAAATATCTGCCATGTTTTCTTCTTCTTATTTTGTTTGCTAGAAAAAGATTATCTATATCTGCAACGCTGTCTCTAGTATGAACTTCCCTGTCTGTTGTAATTCACTCAGTGACCCTTAACTCTTTGAGTCCCAGGGGGTTTAGCATCACAGGCCCAGGGGGTAGTCAAGAAAGTAATAAAATCGGCGCATCATGCGTTCATTGGGCTCCTAGGTAGGAACCTATGAACGTATGATGCGTTCCTTGGGACTCAAAGAGTTAAATTTTGGCCTGCACCAGTGTTTCTCTTGGCCAAAAGTTGATATGTTGTATGTGGGACAGTCTTGGGACACCCTAGGCTGAAATATATGCACTTTTTGGACCAACACATCTGATTTCACTAAGTCCTTAATTTATCACCTTTTACAGCATGCTTGACTGGTTGGCAACGCTAACAGCATATACATGCATTAAATGCATAAGGCAGCCATCAGAAGTGCCAACACAAAAGTCTGCTACTAGAATTGCAGTTCTTCGGCGATGGAAGCAGCCATTACAATAAATCAGCAGTTGCACACACAGTATGGGTTAAGGCACCACCAGTTCTGTGGCAAAAGGCCACTGGTTATTTTCTAACTCTGCAGTTCACAAGTCAAATCACATTGGGCACTGCTAAAAAAACATTCCAAATGGTTGCTGCACTAAGTTATAATGAAAATCATCAATATAAATATGAGAATTTACAAATGATCAACAAACTTCACCCAAACCTTTTATACTGAGTAAATGTGGCCTGTAGAAAGCGATAAGAGCTGCAATGCTGCATCCGTCACCAATGTCTCTCATGAGATCCGTCAGAGGTGAAACTTGGATCGGTTCATGATAACAAGTGGATTTTCCCAGAACACGCACCTTGTGAGGGAAGGGAGGAAACATCCAGAAAAATTTATAAACAACAAACAGAAAAACACATCAGGCAGTAAAATAAAAGTTTTTAAAAAAAATATATATATTAACAAATGTGTGGCACTCAAAGCCATGAAGCATTAATAAAAGAAGTCTGATTTTCCAAGAACAGTGTTCGTTTGTTTGACTTCCTATAAACCATACAGACTGTTCTTGTTCATTCATCGCACAAGATGACTAATTAAGGTGTTTCCTTCTATGTCAGTGTGTGCCTAATAGCTGAGGAACCAATAGTCTGCACAGAAATAAAAACTCGAGTTCTGGAGCAAGACCAAAGTCTAAAGGTGAACGAAAAACCAGAAATTTCAGCCTGAGCCTACAGCCGGTGACTGCTAAGTAGGAGTCAATTTCATTCAAAACAATTTCATTCTCTTTTTATCTGTCCAAGAATTCTCATCATTCGTCTATAAAACCACAACTCCGCAGCTTCTAAGCTGAGCTCTAGCTAGGACACATAAACATAACCAGAGACATTTAAGTTATCAACTTTACTTTCTGCCCGGCTTCTCCTTTAATGACCCCCTCCAAGGCGACTTTGTGGACACCATCTGTTCTCAGGACTGTGCAAACTTTATTGATCCAAAACAACAAGGCTTCTTCTGGAGTGTCTGGCAGCTCACTGGAAGCAGGGAATGTCGTGAAACGTCTGGGAGGGAACATCACAAGTAATTAGTGAAAGACAACACTAAAACACTAAACATGTAATTTCAACTTGTGTACATTAAAAAACACCAACATGAAGTTTCATATTATATCAACTGTTATATTACCAAATAACACATGTACATAGATGGCAGAGACATGTCAAACACTGCAATAACGAATCTTGGTGACCTGGAGGGTTTACCCAGGATGTGTGTAGACTTATTTTCTCTTTTAATTTCCATATATTAATTAAATGTTTTAAAATCCTGTACTGTGTATATTTACCACCTTTTGGGTGGTAGTAGGATGATGGGGGGGGGGGGGGGGGGGGGCTTGATCCTGAGGATTTAGGGCCGTGTGGTAGTGCAACCACTACAAACTGTGCAGGTTAGGATATTTATTTCTGCTCCTGACATAAAATATTTCCATCAGCTTACTGAGACTCTGAACCCGAGTCTCCTCCGTAAGAGGACAATGTTCTGGTCCAGATGGTATTAAAAACTAGGGTGCTTTCTTAATATCCTACCCCAAACAGGGGAAATCCACAGGTCACAGGACAGTAATATTTCAGGGAGGTGTGGTAGATAGGCTGCATGCATTCGTGGGTCCTAGTCTGCACTCTCTCGTGGGACGTAGGTGGGTTGGGGTTAGGGTCAGTTCTAGATGTTTTGGGGTCATTAAAGCATCAAAAAGCCGGGAAACCCAGTTTTACCACCCTCTAAACTCGTGGACTGTGACGTCATCTGGGGTTTGATATTACGAAAGAACCAAAACTGGATTAATGTTCTTCTTTCTTTCTTCATTTCTCTACTCCTGGAATGACTTGCGCCATCAGGGCAGGAAAAGATTTCTGGAAAGGGCCCTCCCATCTGTTCACTTTATTTACTATATTTCTGCTTGGTCGACCTATGGTTCTGTTACCGTTGTATCTGTACAATACTGCTCAACAGATTAATGTTGTTCATATTTATTAAGAATTAAATGAAAAGTTATCATTTCAGAATTACGAAATAAAAATTTATGGCCACTAGTACGGGCTTCCTGTCCTGAACGAGATTAACTAAATTAACTCATAAAGAGAACTGATTTCAGAATAAAACAGGCTATATCAGGACTATTCATATAAGTCTACCCAGGACCCACATGTTGAAAACAGGGATCATCATGGGTCCAGGCCCCAGAGAAAGATCATCAATACAATACAATTTAAATTGATCCGCGGGCCATGTGTCAGGCCTCTGTGGGCCACTTATGACCCGTGAGCCACCAGTTTAACATCCCGGATCTATATTTTGTCACATCATAAGAAAAGGAAAACTGGATCATATCTCGTAATGAAAAAGCTGGAGAGGCGGATAACTAATGGAGAAAATGCTGAACAGTCTGGCATCATGGCATGGATGGATATCTGTATCAGAAATGACTAAAAGTACATGACCCAGAAAAAGTATAGACAGGCATGACTACCAATATCACATAGAATGGTCTATCAGAATACTAAGAAGAGACTAAACTCTATCAGTCCCACATAAGGCATGGTGTCTTAGTGACAATTCAAGAATCAATCAAACAAATCAAACAAATCAAACAAATCAATCAATCAATCAATCAATCACTCAATCACTCCCTCCCTCCCTCCCTCCTCTCTCTCTCTCCTCTCTCTCTCTCTCTCTCTCTCTCTCTCTCTCTCTCTCTCTCTCTCTCTCTCTCTCTCTCTCTCTCTCTCTCTCTCTCTCTCTCTCTCTCTCTCTCTCTCTCTCTCTCTCTCTCTCTCTCTCTCTCTCTCTCTCTCGTTTTTCAAATATACCATGCTCCCATTTCTTCTCGTATCAAGAATCCCCCCCATCCCAATCCCCCAAAATGATAGCCTCTTTTGGATATTTGTGATGTTATATTCAGGTCCTCATCTCTATCAAAACATCTAGGTTAATTATTCGGAGTGTCCAAACAATTCTGACATTCTTCTGTAAAACAATATCTGAGAAATGACATCAGATGTTCACTAATAACTAACTTGCCGATACCCTCTGAACAAGAAAAAGACCAGTGATAGTATCTGCCACCTAACCTAGCAAAAAAGCAAAGAACCCTTTTCCCGCCTTTAGGCGCATCTGGCATATGGGAAGAGCACCCACATTTTTACAGACCAATCAGCACTAGGTGGTGAATATGGTCAGCATTGCACCGGCCGTGTTTAGTTTCCCAGGACAGCCATCATGGTACCCATTTCAGGCTATGTCGACCTGCGACGCCCCATACCATGATGAAAATCCACGCAGCCAGCAGTGGGTTTCAATCGCAGTACGTTGGAATTGCGAGTCGGACTCGCAACGCCTAAGCCACAGACGCCGCAGCCACCTAACCTGCTTCCCCAAAAATAGGACCCGGTCTTACATTAATTTTGCATTTTTTTAAAAATCATTAGGGTATATTTTCTGGGGATTCTTTTACGTTTTCAGATACAAAAGTATACACTTATTCATATACACCAACATCAGTTTACTATCAAGTGCTGGTTTAACTCCGCTTGGCCATTCGGCAACAAGTCTCTCATTCTAGCTGAAGACCTTAACTAGGACTTAATTCTGGGGTAGGGCTTATATTATAAGCCTTCCTGAAAAACTGAGCTACAGCTTATTTTGAGGAAGGTCTCATTTTTAGCCAAACATGGTATGTAGTCAGAAAATTTACCTTACAGCTTTTACCACTTTCTCTACACTGGCAACTTCGCATGTGTATGCTTTCATCAGTGCATCAATCAAGGCCAAATGGGCTTTCTGATAACAACAACAACAAAACATCAATGTTGTCAATACATTACAATGATGTGACATTATGAATGTATTAAGCAGCAAATGATTAATCAGGACTTCATTTCTGATACAACTAAATGCAACAGTGTTGAAAAAAAATTTTTTAAATTTTTTTTCCACGAAACAAAATATGTATTTTCACTCTTTACGTCCAATATATTTATGCCTAATTATCCAGAGAGACCATAATGACAACAACAACCATACAGGTGCACTACTTTCACACAACAACCATACAGGTGCACTACTTTCACACAACAACAACCATAAAGGTGCACTACTTTCACACAACAACAACCATAAAGGTGCACTACTTTCAAACAACAACCATACAGGTGCACTACTTTCACACAGCAACAACCATACAGGTGCACTACTTTCACACAACAACAACCATAAAGGTGCACTACTTTCACACAACAACAACCATACAGGTGCACTACTTTCAAACAACAACCATAAAGGTGCACTACTTTCACACAACAACAACCATACAGTTGCACTACTTTCACACAACAACAACCATAAAGGTGCACTACTTTCACACAACAACAACCATACAGGTGCACTACTTTCACACAACAACAACCATAAAGGTGCACTACTTTCACACAACAACAACCATACAGGTGCACTACTTTCAAACAACAACCATAAAGGTGCACTACTTTCACACAACAACAACCATAAAGGTGCACTACTTTCACACAACAACAACCATAAAGGTGCACTACTTTCACACAACAACAACCATACAGGTGCACTACTTTCAAACAACAACCATAAAGGTGCACTACTTTCAAACAACAACAACAACCATAAAGGTGCACTACTTTCAAACAACAACAACAACAACCATAAAGGTGCACTACTTTCAAACAACAACAACCATAAAGGTGCACTACTTTCACACAACAACAACCATACAGGTGCACTACTTTCAAACAACAACCATACAGGTGCACTACTTTCACACAACAACAACAACCATAAAGGTGCACTACTTTCAAACAACAACCATACAGGTGCACTACTTTCAAACGACAACAACAACATACAGGTGCACTACTTTCAAACAACAACCATACAGGTGCACTACTTTCAAACGACAACAACAACATACAGGTGCACTACTTTCAAATGACAACAACAGCATACAGGTGCACTGCTTTCAAATGGATCACATTAACAACCCATGTATTGAACAATCCCTTTCAATGCTGTAAAACAAGGAAAACAAGTGAAATGAAAGATATAAAAACAGTAATCAGGTGATGATAGATTCACAGATCTAATACAAACAGTATGCTGACTGGGACAGAAAGAGCTGATGAAGTCAAATGTACAGCACCTCGATATCAGCGGATGTAAAAAGTAAGCCGAGGACTTTTTTCTAACCAAGCATGCAGAATAGTCCCCGTGCAACCCTTTTTATAGCCCAACTGATACTTGATACTCTGGATTATTCTACTTATGATCATTGAAATCTGAACTCTGCAACTGCTGCTGAAGATGAGGACTAAGTGCTTATGGGAATGTCCTGAGTGGTTTGCAGTGGGTCTATTTCCCCCAAAGTTGGGTTCTGGAACCCACAGGGGGACTTAAGCTTTCCATTCTTCCTTATAATTTGTTTCACTAATCGGCTGACTATCCAGTTCATTTCCATGGCTTTATACAGCTCATATCTAGAGAGGAATATCATCATCATGTTCCTACTTCAGGATAAATCCACCCCATGGTTTATAGTGAATGTTTAAGAACCGGAAATGGACATTGCTCCTCTGAATCACTGTGTGTGAAAATTTACTATTGGGAACCTGCAAGCTGTATCTAGTTCAATCATTCTTCTTTCTTCTTCTTCTTCTTCTTCTTTTTTTTTCTTCGTCGTCTTCTTATTCTTTCTTCTTCTTTTTCTTCTTCTTCTTCTGTATTATCTCATAGAAGAGCGACTGGCATGCTGTGTTACATCTTACAGGTAGGCTGTGATATCTGCTTCTTTTGGTCCAACACATCTGATTTTTTCCCCCGTGTAGTTTCCGTGGCCCATTGTGGGGGAAAACAAGAACAGACCCACTGCCTGTCAAAAAGCATGTCGTATGAGTCAACTAAATGGGAGCTTCCTGTGAAGTTTGGAGTACATCTGTCTGAGAGGCAAGGAACCAACAGTCTGCCTGCAAATGAGTCAGACCTGTGAAACAGATGTACATGCAGCACTCACTTTCTAGAACAAGACTAGAATCCAGAAGTGGACAAACAATCAGAACTTTCCGCCAGAGTCTACAGCTGGTGAGCGCAAAGAAGAAGAAGAAGAAAACTTTTACGACACCAGTGCTAGGGGACACTTTTTCTGTGCCTGCTCCTCCCAAACAGGGCCCCAAACCCACACAGGAAATTCTGTCTTCTGATGTCTAACAGTAACAGAACAGACAGACATAAAGACTGACTGACCAATCTGAGACAGACATAAAGACTGACTGACCAATCTGAGACAGACATAAAGACTGACTGACCAATCTGAGACAGACATAAAGACTGACTGACCAATCTGAGACAGACATAAAGACTGACTGACCAATCTGAAGGGTGCAGTCTGGACTAGTACCGTTTCTGTCACAGAGGTGTCTTGGACATCAGCGATATAGATGCCTTTCCTGGACAACACCTGGATGATGCTCCAATGGCCTGGTCAAATATGAAATGAGAACAAATTTAATGCTCAAGATGAATGCAATTTTTTATTTTTAAATCCTTAAAAGTAATTAAGAATAATAATATACCTTAATTTCACCACCTTCTTCTTATCGTCCTTCTTCTCCTTCTCCTCCTCCTTCTTCTTCTTCTTTTTCTTCTCCTCCTCCTCCTCCTGCTGCTTCTTCTTCTTCTTCTTCTTCTTCTTCTTCTTCTTTTATTTCTTCTAAATATTATTATTATTCTCCTCTTCCTCTTCACCCACTAGCTTCTCTTTCTCCTACTTCTTCATTTGCCTTAAAACCTTGAAAAACACATTTGCTGTGCTGTGTCCATTTATCATGAAACTCCAATATGTTTACCAGTCAATCAATACCATAATAGCAAATACCCTTCAAGCAGTGGAACAAGGTCACTTACTTTACTAAAACATGACAAACTGTTTTATCCTGTCATCCTGAGAAAGTAGTTTTTCCCAGCATTTAAGGGTTTTTGAAAACACAGTCTTTGGGCAGTGGTCACTACACCTATATAACAGCTTTAGTGTGTGTCTGGTAAGCATCAATATATTTGCCAAAAAAAGAAAAAAATTAATACCTTGACAAAACGAGTGTTTAAGTGTTACGTAGAACGTGGTTGTTAAATAAATGCAATATGGACAATAAGCAGACAAATTGAAAAAAATGTACTCATGGCAGAAATATGGTTTTGGAGACAAATGCAAAGTATATCATGGAGGGATAGACAAACAGAAGAAGCAGGCCTTATTCAGATAGATGGAATTTGTAAACTAATTAGAACAATTAGATGTAGACAAACCATGTTTAATGGACATGTTATGAGAAGGAATGAACTCAAGAGCTTGCTAACAACTGGCAAGATTGATGGAAGGATAGAATCAGGAAGGTAAAACAGGTAAATACCTGGATGGCTTGGCCAGATGGATGGGGCGAGACAAAAAACACTGACCTGCTCCATGACTATGGTGATGCTGTGAGATGGCGAAACATGACAGTCTACACTTAACAGCATGGAACGTGATAATGATGATAATGAAACACCACAAATTGCCTTGAAAACTCAATAGAGTGAAAGAATAGGATGTGCTTAAATGCAAATGATAAATCAACCTGTCTGTTTTAATGAACAAAACAAAAGACTATTGTTGTGTCTGTCGATAAAGACCTGTTTTTCTTGTATCCACTGATGAAGACTGGTGGAAATATTTAGTTGTAATTGTGCGCACATTCTTCTTTTCTTCTACTAAGCTTTATATTCACTCTGTGGGTGTTCAGTTATTTATAGATATCAGCTCAACTGATATTCAAACAGAGATTACCTTGCCACTGTGTGTGCGTCTCTGGGAACATGTTGCTACAGGCCTGGCAGTAGAGCTCACTTGAAGTCATCAAGTTAACCATCACAGGCCGCAGAATCAGCTGGTCCTGTGAGTATATGACATCTAAATACATATATTTCCAACATCATCTTCATCACTTTCTTCTGCTTCTATAGGTAAAACATCTACTGTTAGCTTCTTCCTCATAAAGTCAATGCTGTGTGGCAATGGTAGTCATGTCTATCCACAACTTCCTGCCTTGTGTACTTTCAATCAATTTTGAAAGAGATGTCAAATTGTCCAGCATTATCTCTCTCTCTGTCTCTCTGTCTCTCTCTCTCTCTCTCTGCCTCTTTTCCTCTCCACCTCTCCCACCATCATGGTCTACTCTAGTTTCCCCCTTCTCATAATAGGACACAATAATGTAGACTGTGTCCTTCTGATGTGGGCAATGAGTTCTCTTTGTGAGTCAATTTCTTTAAACACATCTTCAATATTTTTGTCTGTCTGTCCAGGTAAGTAAAAGTAAAGAGTAAAGATCCCTTTTCACGCCTTTCGGCACATCAGGCATATGGGCAGAGCATCCCATATTTTTACAGACCATCAGCACTCTGTGGGTAATGTGGTCAGCATTATGCCAGCTGTCTTTACTTTCCCAGGACAGCCCATCCTGGTACCCATTTTAGGCTGGGTCGACCTGCGACATCCCATACCATGACAAAAATCCACGCAGCCTGCAGTGGGTTTCGATCGCGGTATGCTGGCTCACGAGTCGGACTCGCAACGCCTTAGCCACGGACGCCGCTGTCTGTCCAGGGTGTTCTCATAATTCTCATAATGTAAAATTTTTCACTAACTTACCAACTGTTCATGATTCACTTCAGTATATCTGGACAGGATGAATATAGCTCTTGAGAATTCTCTTCCTCATGTCGAGTAACCAACCAACAAAGATTGCAAAGAATATTTTTAACTTTGTGAAAAGCTGCCTTTGCTTGAGCTTTTCTACATTTAACTTTCTTTCCATCTGCTGTTATCAGGGTAACCAAGTAATTAAACATATCAACTTACTTGAGCACTGTCTTGTATACATGCTGGAAGATGCCTTTCTTTGTCATTTACCATTATTTGTGTGCTGCTGTTGTTCTTCTACTTCTTCTTTTTCACGATCACCGGCTGTAAACTCAGTGGAAAGTTCTAGTGTTCGTCCACCTCTGCATGTCTTGTTCCAGCCCCTGAGTGTTGCATGCACATCCATTTTACAGACCTGACTCATTTATATGCAGACCACTGGTTCCTTGCCTCTCAGGCAGATTCACTCCGACTACGAAGGCAGCCCCAATTAGTCGATTCTTATTACATGCTTTTTGGGGAGGCTGTGGGTCTGTTTTTGCTTTCCCAAAACACCTACTACGACCCAGCTGGTTCAAAATGGAGAAAATGCAGCTCGATACACAAGCCATTGTTGATAAGTGTATAAAGAATAGAATGAATGAATCAAGAAATGACATCACAGGACATTCCCATATGTGCTCCGTCCCCCTCCTCAGCAGCCAACGAAGAGTCGACATGCTAACAGTACCAGCTGCAACCTGGTTATGACTGAACAGAAAACAGAAAAAACGCAGAGTACCATGTATGGGACGTGTGGGAACGTCCCAAGTACAGTGATCTCAGATCTTGATTCATTCATTCTTTTCTATATACACTTATCTACCGTAGCTTGTGTATCCAGTTGCATCGACGTTTAGGTTTACAGGACGGATCAACATAATGAGTGCTCCGTTCTACTTTCAACTCAAGCCTGAGTCCAAAGAATCTCAGCACAGTACACGAACTCCGCAGCACCGGCTAGGATCCTGAAATACTTTTAAGAAGATTTTAAACTCAAAACTGTGCCCGAGCAGCGTGGTTAGGCTATTCTTTTCTACTTTCAACTGTCAAAGGATTTTTTACGTGGGCAACAATACAAACAGGCGTCCGATCTTACTACCCAGAGACCAGTAGAAATTAAAAGAAAAAAAAATTACTAGAAAAAAATCCCGGCCTTCACCGGGGCTTGAGCCCGGAACCTCCAGCACTCGAGACCACGCCCCCCCCCCCCACCCCACGCCCGCCATTTGCTATATTACTATAATTATTAAGCACTTAAACACAACTTAAGAGCTCCCCCCCCCCCCCCCCCCCCGAAATTTGGTATATTACTATAATTATTAAGCACTTAAACACAACTTAAGCGCCCCACCACCACCATTCGGTATATTACTATAATTATTAAGCACTTAAACACAACTTAAGAGCTCCCCCCCCCCCCCCCCCGAAATTTGGTATATTACTATAATTATTAAGCACTTAAACACAACTTAAGCGCCCCCACCCCCGCCATTCGGTATATTACTATAATTATTAAGCACTTAAACACAACTTAAGCGCCCCCACCCCCGCCTTGGAAATATTGCAATGGATGGTTGGGTTAGTAGGCAAAATCTAGGTATTACAGTACAGTGACTCATGTTTTATGAAACTATAAATAAACACCCGAAAGCAAGATGAGGCTTCGTTTGTGATCAATGTAACAATATCTAACCGAAACCGCGCGGTACCATTACGCAGTGACATGCTTCAGTATTATGTACAGTTCTGATGGAAGATCATAGCGAACAAGAGAAACAGTTTGCGGGAGAGAGAGAGAGAGAGAGAGAGAGAGAGAGAGAGAGAGAGAGAGAGAGAGAGAGAGCGAGAGAGGGAGAGAGAGAGGGAGGGAGAGAGAGAGTGGGAGCAAAAGAGGGCGAGAGTGAAACAGAAGCAGAGACAGACGGACAGAAAGAGAGAGAGAGGAGGTGGAGAGACAGAGGAAGATAGAGAAGATAGAGAAAGATAGGAGCTGGCGAGCGAGCCAGCGTGCGAATGCAAACGGGAGCAAAAGACGGCGAGAGCCAAAAAGACACACAATGATCGAGTGACAGCCAGCCTCTAAGAGACAGACGAGGACACACAGAGAGAGAGAGAGAGAGAGAGAGAGAGAGAGAGAGAGAGAGAGAGAGAGAGAGAGAGACGGGGAGAGCGTTCTAACAAGTCTTTCAAGAAACATGAACTCTGTTACTGGTCGGAGAGACCAGACATGCAAGATGTGTTCCCAAGCACGGCCTTGGGTGAAATGGATTTTAAAAATTTAGTAGCAACAAGTAGCAAACGTGGCGGAGCGTAGCAAGGTAAGACAGTCAAACAGCTGACCAGATCGTTTTAAGGGTGAAAGAAAATACACATGACTCCAGTCTCTGTTTAGCGTCTAAGACGGTGAACCAACAACATGACCCAAGATGATGATGATGATGATGAATACGCATCTGCACATAGTAAATATAATCTTAATGTCGAATTACTGTCAATGGAATGCAATTATCAAGAAAATCTGTTTTCTATATCTCAATACCATTTCCGATGGCATAAACGCTGTGTAGATAAGACCAAAATCGACACCGTAGCACATACAGAAAACGTGCCGCTGGTGCTACAGGTGCCCACAACCGCGCATTCAGCAGCCCCTGACATTCATCAAAGCGCCCTACGTTCGTCTTACCATCTGCTCAGTCTGTCTTGAATAAACACTGCGCCGAAGCGACAGCAATGAACACCTCTACCTTCCTGCGAAAGCAGCGAACTCCCCAGATTTTCAAACTGTGCGACATGCCGCAACTGGTGGCCCGTGATACTGGCGTGGGGTGGGTATTTTCAGAAACGGAAAATCTTCTCAGTTAGCTGTTTTGTATCCTTTACAAGGCTTCGCATTAAAATGTAACAGAAGTATTTCAGGATCCTCGCCGGTGCTACGGAGTTCGTGCACTGGGCTAAGATTTTCGGAATCAGGCTTGAGTCAGAAGTAGAACCGAGCACTTATGGGTTATTAACCTTATGCCATGATGTTGATCCGTCGTCTAACCCTAAACCTATACAGGGCGTCGCAGAACCAACCCCAGAACTTTTTGGCTGTTGCGGTTTTTCTAGGCAAATATTACGTTCAGTAGTTTGCCACTGCTTCCTGCATGGTCGGCTCTCGGTACCACTGTCGAAACTAACGCAAGACGCTTTGCTGCTAAATCTTCTGCAGGTGGGATCGAACCAGGCACCCCACCATTACAAAGCGCGTTCGCAACGACTAAGCCACAGACACCGACTATCTGCATACAGGGGTAATAATCGTATTCTTATTCTCTCCTCTTTGTCCTATTTTTCCTCTTCTTTGTTCGTTGGCATGTTGTATTTTTTTTTTTTACAGCTAGGATGCGACATCTGCTCTTTTCGGTCCAAACCATCCAATACTTTCTGTAAAGTGCAGGCTGACTGACTAAAGGGGGGGGGGGGGGACGTCCCAATATGGGACACAATTTTTCGTTATTAAAGCCCCACTCCGGCTATTGCCGGGGGCCCTAATATAACCCCTACGGGTTAAATGGGATTTATGGAACCGGTCTCGGGGTAAACCTCGTCCAAATGGTGGCACTTTGTGTCACCTTCATTTTTCAGGACTGTTAAAGGCGCTCACACCCTGTAATACAGAACACGCGATATCGCCGGCAGGTGACAACAACTAGTAAAATGCTGCGTACTGTTGACCAGCCACTAACCTTAACACCCCCGCAACATAGCACACGCCCTGAGACACTGAAATTTATGAATGGGAAGAGAAGTCAGTCTCTTTCTGGACCCGAAAAGGTGAGATGTACCTCAAATATCCCCTATATTAAATTTATGGAGCCTATTTTTAGAGCGGAACAAAGGAAAGTCTGAAAACCACTGAGTGGTCTCGATGCCAGATGGTCGAAAAGTCTACATTACAAACGAAACGCAACCAGTGTTACATCAATACTTCAGACTAAACGCGTGGGTTGTCTCAGACCCTCCTCCTCCCTCACTCGCCAGGTATTACTTCCCTGTATATGCGGACTCGGTTGCTAAGGTAAACAAAAACAGGTGAACAGTCCCATCAAAACGCCAACAGCTGGAACTTGCCCGGGTGAAAATGGGAAACACAACGATGAAGAAAAAACACTTCACCGTGACTCATTTGGAACACACAAAAAAAGGAAAAACCCAATACCGTATAGTATCATCATCATGTGCCGTGCCGATAAGAGTGAGTTATGTTTTGTTATCCCACATGATCACCAAAATCACGGATCATGTCAGTGTTATTGTCTCGTCTCACCCGTATGGCTAAGCCAGTCACCTCTTATCTCTGTGCCTTTCCCCACCAAACTAGCCAGAGTTTACCAACTACTCCTTCTTCTTCGCGATCACCAACTATAAACTCAAAAGTAGTTGTTCGTCCACCTCCACTTTTGGACTTAAGTTTTGTCCCAGAACCTGCGTGTTGCATGCACATCCGTTTCACAGATAGGACATTTGTATGCAGTGCAGGTTCCTTGCCTCTGAGGCAGATGCACTTCCACTTCAAAGAAAGCACCCAATTATTCGACTCTTATGACATGCTTGTTGAGAAATCCGTCTGTTCTTGTTTTTTTTCCATTATAGGGCCCCGGAACCCACACCAAGTACCGGAGCACATTCCTTCTCATAAGTCAGCTGCTCATCCTTTACAGGACGGCTAAGGACTAACCGTGGCATTTGTTGGCTATTTTAATTTTACTAGATAATTTTACTTTCAGTAGTTTGCCACTGCACTCAGCGGTCAGCTGTCAGTACCACTGACGAAACCAATGCAAGATAAATCGTCCGCAGCTGGGATCGAACCCGATACCCCGGCATTACGAAGCGTGTTTGCCAGGCCTAAGCCACAGACGCCGACCAATTACTAACTTACACCTACCCAACATGCACTCTTCCGAACTGAGGTGACTAAAGAACAGATATCACAGGACTCGGGACATTCCCAAATCTCCCCAATCGCCATCTTCATAAGACAGCGGAGAGTTCTAATTCCGACGATATCGGTCGCAGTCTGCTTGAATACCGTCACGCCTTTCTTCTACCAGGTCCCCTGGTCACTTTCCGCTTGACCATTCTCTTCAGACTGCGTTTTCACACCGTTTACTCGCTCCCAAAGGACACAATTCGGGACTTTCTTATTAGCCGACCACAAACAGGGAAAATCCACAGGTCACGGAACAGTCAAATATTTCATGGGGTGGTAGATTACGCGTATTGTTTTGTTTAGGGTAGGGGTTGAGGTTAGGGTTAGGTAAACGCACGAAAACCCTAGCCTTGGAAGAAACGCACTAAAGCACAGAAAACACGGAAAACCCGCTCTTACCACCCTCTGAAATACTAGACTGTCCCGTGACGTCACTTGTAGTTGGCTAAAAAGAAAGCACCCAAAATTCTTTTTCAAAGGGCGCGTCAATATTAATTCTAAAAGATCTTAACATCATGGAAGATTGGCTAATTACCAGCATCTTGTCCCAGAAGCTGAAATATTTTGGCCATATTGAGCGCCCCAACGGATTGGGTGGAAAAAAAATGTGCATGCATGGTACGGGGAAGGAGGGGCAGGGCCGACCAACACGAAGATGGGCAGGGGATATAAATGACAAATTTGATATGAAAATACAAGAGGCAGGACAGCTAGCGAGAGAGCCAGCTTCTTTTAGACAGGCAGTGATGAGAGCGTCGTTCTGCAAAGAACCTGCTACAATTTGATGTTAGTATTAATGAGATTAGGATAGAGACTGCTCTCTTTCTCTCTATCTTTCTCTCTATCAGTCTCTCTCTCTGTGTCTCTGTCTCTCCCTATCTGTCTCTCTCTGTCTGTCTCTCTCTGTCTGTCTCTCTCTGTCTCTCTCTATCTGTCTCTCTCTGTCTCTCTCTATCTGTCTCTCTCTATCTCTCTCTTTTTCTATCTGTCTGTCTCTCTATCTGTCTCTCTCTCTTTCTGTCTTTCTCTGTCTCTCTCTATCTCTCTATCTCTCTATCTCTCTCTGTCTCTCTCTCTCGTCCTCTCTCAGGCACACAAATCACACAAAAGATACTCACGTCCGAGGTTTGGTAGAACGGATCTTGCAGTTCTTTAGGAATGTCGTTGGGGTAGGCCTTGGACAACAACCAGGAGACGGATGCTCGAAGCTTTCCCTGTAGAAGATACCATTCATGTAACCATAAGCATTTAAAAGCGTACTAAAGTCAGATATACCTAGGAGCATTTAAAAAGAATACCTAAGACAGATGTACTTTCGATCGAGGAGCATTAGAGAAGCATACTAAAGACAGATGTACTTTCAATCGGAGAGCATTAGAGAAGCATACTAAAGACAGATGTACTTTCAACTGAGGAGCATTAGAGAAGCATACTAAAGACAGATGTACTTTCAATCGAGGAGCATTTGAGAAACACACTAAAGATAGATGTACTTTCAATCGAGGAGCATTAGAGAAGCATACTAAAGACAGATTTACTTTCGATCGAGGAGCATTAGAGAAGCATACTAAAGACAGATGTACTTTCAATCGAGGAGCATTAGAGAAGCATACTAAAGACAGATGTACTTTCAATCAGAGAGCATTAGAGAAGCATACTAAAGACAGATGTACTTTCAACTGAGGAGCATTAGAGAAGCATACTAAAGACGAGATGTACTTTCAACCCAGGAGCATTAGAGATGCACCCTAAAGACGAGATGTGCTTTCAACCGAGAAGCATACACCACGCTGACCATACGTTTTTACATTAACTGGGAAAGACTTTTACAGATAACTGGAATTGCTCAAACAGAATTGGAGAAAAAAAAAACACATCTAAACCATCTATCACATGAACACATCCCCGTGTGGGTTTCAGGAGTCCCATTGTGAGGGGGAAAAACAGACCTAGTGCCTACACCCAAGCATGTCGTAATGGTCGACTAAATGGGAGTTTCATTCGACGTCGGAGTGCATCTGACAGCAGTCTACATACACGTGAGTCAGAACTATAAAACGAGGGAGGGAGGGAGAGGAAGAGAGAGAGAGAGAGAGAGAGAGAGAGAGAGAGAGAGAGAGAGAGAGAGAGAGAGAGAGAGAGAGAGAGAAGCTTCCGGATATCGGTTTCTAAAACTGGGTCATCGGCGACTGACAGCGAGCGATACTACAGCTTTTTGCTCAACGAGTCCACCCCAAAGGAAACAAGTAACAGCCAGCCAGTAACAGGCGTCACTGAAGCATCCCCCGCGTGCACATCTCGCACTTAATGAATAAAGCATGCAATTAACACGCATCGCGTATCCTTTCTGTGTGTTGTTTAACATTTATCGCGTCTTCTATGCCAAGGTTTTTTTTTTAAATTAGTATAAACGTTTATTGAGTGAAAAACATGGTTTACAATATCTGTATCCACATTAACCAAATTAAGAATAATAATATAGTAAAACTTATGATGACTGGTACCTTCATTCCACTAACATTTGGGAAAGAGTAGAAAAAAGGGGAGGCAGAAAGAAAAGAATCGGGGGCGAAGAAAGGAGTGGCCATTCATAATGTTTGTGTGTGTGTGTGTGTGTGTGTGTGTGTGTGTGTGTGTGTGTGGTTTTTTGATATCCAGACACATTCATCTACTTGTTAATGATGATAATGATAAACTGACAATTTCGGCTAATTTCATGTCATATATACATTTTATATTTACGCAGCAATTCTACAGACTTAAGAAGAAAAACATAAAGGAGGTGATAATGATGCATGGTTGTTCTTTAACCAGTAGCGAGCCGCAGAAATGAACGGATGAGCGGCCAAAATGGTTTACCTAATCATGTAGCGGTTGCATGACTGCGGTACTAGACTGCTGCATGCGCGTCAGATAGATCAGATTGTTTAACACTTAGACCAGCGGTTCTCAAACTTCTTTCACCGCGGCACCCTTGTCGGGTTTTAAAAAAAATTTCACGGCATACCTACCCTTAAAGCGGTCTGAATACTTTGGAAAAGAAGGGCAGCGGGGCACAGTGCACATTTAATGTTTCGTTTTCCATAATGCGATGAATGAAACTGTTTGAATTTTTCATTATTTCCTTTATATATATATATATATATATATATATATATATATATATATATATATATATATATATATATATATATATATATATATAGGAAGTTGAGTTAATTTAACCCTCAAATGGCTTGACCCAGAAAGTTTGCCCCTGAATCTGTTTCTGTCTGCAAGTGTATGTTGAGAGCCCATTGCATCTTTCTGTCTCCTGTGTTTTCAATACATTCTGACACATATGATCTTCAATGGCATGATGTCAAAATCTCCACCATCTTCTCTCGTGGTTTTCTTCTGCCTCTTTTCTCCTCCAACTCATGTCACAATGTACTCCATTTCTCTCCTTCTCATGACAAGACTAAAGAATATAGATTATCTCGTTTTCATGACAAGACTATAGATTATCTCGTTCTCATGACATGACTAAAGAATGTAGATTGTCTCCTTCTCATGACAAGACTAAAGAATGTAGATTGTCTCCTTCTCATGACAAGACTAAATAATGTAGATAGTCTCCTTCTCATGACAAGACTAAATAATGTAGATTGTCTCCTTCTCATGACAAGACTAAATAATGTAGATTGTCTCCTTCTCATGACAAGACTAAAGAATGTAGATTGTCTCCTTCTCATGACAAGACTAAAGAATGTAGATTGTCTCCTTCTCATGACAAGACTAAAGAGTATAGACTGTCTTCTTCTGGTGTGGGACATTAGTTTCTTGAGGAGTCAATTTCTTTCAAGACATCTTCACTTCTCTTTTTAACGGTCCAGTATGTTCATATCATTCGTCTATAAAACTACATCGCTGCTTTCACATGAATTTCAACTAACTGGCCAACAGTGCATGAAAATTAGATGTAGAGCGTCAATACTGGAGGACATGTTATGAGAAGAAATGAGTTTGAAAACTTGGTGACAATAAAAAGCATGATGAAAAAGAAATAGCAAGGGACAGACAAAAGAGATAAATACCTGGAGGATATGGCCACATGGACAGGATGTGACAAAAGCAAAGACTTACAGTAATCTATGAATGATGATGATGACTACTCAACTTGTTCAGTCCCCAACAACACACAGTGTGTAATGGGATAATCCTTGTGAGTTACAGCCAATTAATAATGTGCTGTTAATAATGTTTTAAATTTGGTCAAACCACATTCCAGAAATCTGGCTACCCAAGTGGTCATTCTGATGCGCCTGCTCTATGTCTAGTATTCATATTTTTTGACCTACCTGGGGATTTGCTGGTGCCCAAAGAGTGAAGCATTTTGGCATTTCAAGTCACAAACCAAGAAACTCTAGTCAGTATAATAACCAAGAGAAGATGGAAATGGCTTGGCCACGTTATGAGAATGTATCATGATATACCTGCCAAAGCAGCTCTCACATGGATACCAGAGGGAAAGAGAAAAAAATGGCTCCCCAAAAACAACATGGAGACGAACAATGGAAAGTGACCTGAGAGAGGCATCTCTGACGTGGAAAACTGCATTGAAAATAGCAAAGGACAGGAAAGCATGGAAAGTCCTCTCTGAAGCCTCGTGTGCCACTAGGCATAACGAGAATTCATGATGATTTTGATGATGAGGATGATGAACATGATGTTGAAGTAGATCACAAGTTTAGTTAGGGAAGGCACCATTTAACAAATGAATATTCTAGATCAGTGTTTCTCAACCTGTTTACAACCGCAGCCCACTAAAACAGGGAAAATTGTTCAGCGGCCCACCTGACAGCTAGCCAAACACAGAACCAAAAACAAATGGATCTGGCAGTTTATTTGTTAAATTCGATGTCACAACATTGCAATATTTTGCCGACGTTACATTTGCTGCTGCTTAACAGTTAGAAAATCCTAGCTACGTGTCTGGAGCATTGTTTCTAAGAGAATGTTTCCTACAGACTGCAATCCTGAAAGAGGAAAAACTACCCACCTCACCCCCTTAAATGGAATTGTCAGGCGTGACATGTACCTTGGCTACTTCATACAAAATTGTACATGGCCTTACACATGTCGGCGTGATGTTGACCACATCATCCACCAAGTGCCAATTGGTCTATAAAAAGGTCTAGCCCTATATGCCTGAAAGCGTGGAAAGGGTCCTTTACTGTTTTATTTTATTATATATGTACAAAATATGTAACCACTCAATGTATTCTGCTTTTGTTGCTATATACACATAAATATGTGTGTGTGTGTGTGCATGTGCATGTATGTACACGTATGCATGTGTGTGTGTGTAAAATCAATTTAATTTACAGTATCAGGCGTGACACCTTATTTAGACCAGATTCAACAGCCCTGTGGAACAATCTGTTACAATGAGAAGGATAAAACTGAATTCTCATGTGGTTCCGGGGCCTCACGGTGAGAAAAACAAGAACAGACCCACTGCCTTTCCAACAAGCATGTCAAAGGAGTCAACTAATTGAGAGCTTGCTTCAAAGTTGGAGTGCATCTGCCAGAGCAGCAAGCAACAACCAACTGCACACAAGTAAGCCGATAAAACGGATGTACACACAGAACTCGGGCTTTGGCACAAAGTGAAAGTCCAAATGGAGGAACAAGCAGGCCCTTCTGCCAGAGCTTACAGCCGGTGAACAAAGAAGAAGACAACTGAAGTACATTACCACTGTGGGAAAGCTGAAGGAGGAAAGAGCCAGCGGGAGACAGAGAGAAGATACATCATGGCATAGAAAAACATTTGTGTCAGAACTGATTGAAAGTATACGAGATAGAAGGTTGTGAATAGCCATGACTACCAACGCCACACAGCACAGACTATTAGAAAAACATGCTGTATCAATTCTAAGTCATTTCCTTGTAGACAGACACTGAATTATAGACAAATACTGAATTAAAGGTCTGACTGCTGGACTTTTGTACATACTGTAAGTGAAACATTATGAGAAAGTGTAATATGTACACAAATTATCAGATGGAAAATTTATTTTACAACATCTATATTATTAAAAATGTTAATTTTCCGTGGCCATTATGTATAATCTCCAACATTTCTTCACTGATCGCTTTCAAATTTTCACACAACGTTGTCTTAGACTCTGTGCGTGTTTGTATGTATGAGTGTTGCACAAACCACAAACGACGTAGCTCCAGCAACGACCATTTCATTATTTGTTTCGTTTCTGGCCAGGATTTGTTTTTAGTTGATTGGCCACCTTTGACTGTGTGTGTAACACTGAACTTCGCATTATTATATAATTTAATTTCTACTAAATACTTGAGTCTTTAGTAGTGTAGTTGTAAGTAAGGCTGTACCGAATATTCACTTTGTATTCGCTTCGAGGCCGAATAGTGGACCTAATAACTATTCGGTATTCTGCCGAATACTTGTGGTCGGGCCGAATACGAATAGTGGTTACCTTACACCTGTTTCTGCATACACTGCGAAAGACTTAAATAACAATCTCATTTACACAATAGTTGCTGTTGCCTAAGTCTGTCGTAGCAGGGGAAACTGCGACCCGGTTTTGTGGTACAGCATTCAGTTTTAACATATGGCTGATTGCATGGACAATCGGTAGGCAGGCCAAACAATTTCTTGAGGCCTCAGAGATGTGGTTTTACAGAACAATGCTTAAAATATCTTGGACAGCACAAAAAGAAGCAACCAAAAGGTTTTGAAAGAGGCGGGAGCCCGAAGACAACTAATCACAGACATCAGAAGCAGACAGTCATTATTTTTTTGCCATGTTATGAAAAGAGGAAAAGTAGAACATGTGGTGACCACTGAAAAGATCTGTGGAAGGAGGGACAGAGGAAGACGAGAGAAGATTTTTGACAGTCTTGTTGCATGGTATGGAGGTGTGTCAGCACACAAACTAATATATGCTGCAAGAAATCGCAGATTGTGGAAAGGCACCAGATGATTATGATATATTATTCGTATTCAGCCGAATAGTTGGTCCCGCTATTGGTATTCGGCTGAATAGTGAAAATCCCTATTCGGTACAGCCCTAGTTGTAAGTATGCCTCCTATCACGTGGATGACCGGTGTTCGATTCCCCGCTGGGTGATATAATGCTGTGGTATTTTTTTGCCCTCTAACTGGGCGGCTGGCACATTGTGTTGTGGTTTATAGCTAGGCTGAGATATCTACGCCTTTTTTCGCTTGGTTGAGGGATTTACAGCTACCCTGCGATAGCAGCTCCGTGATGCTCAATGGTCATGTCACCAGTAATCTTCGTTCACCCTTGAGAGGGCGGTAGGCAAGTTGTGTTGTGGTTTACAGCTAGGCTGCAATATCTGCGCCTTTGGCCCAAAGACATCCGATTTCAGTAAAGCTCCAATTAGCCTCCCAGTGATGCTTCACTCTATTAGAAACTATTCGGTGATGACAAAAACTGTTTACTAAGACGGCTTACAGCCCAGTTTAGTTTGGGTGGACACGGATGCCAAGGTCAATTAAAAATTGTCCCTTCAGAGAGGAAGAGATGATGGGTGTGGGGTTTTCTCTGCTATTTGTGAGTATAGTGTACTTTTTTTTAAGCCACAGAATATTACTGTGGGTTCCATCACTGGTTAGGTGATGGAGTTTTTTTTCTCTATGTCAGGGGTACAATTAAACTAAACAGTCCGTGGTGACAGCATGCGGCGCTAACTACTCTTGCTACAACAACCTGCACAGTGATATTTTTGTGTGTGTGTGAAGGTGGTGATGTTAGTGGTAGCAGTAGTATTGGTACTTGATGGGTGATATTGTAGCAGTTACACTGGCCACATTTACTTCTCAGTACAGATTAATGCTACTCATTTTAGTGTGGGTGGACACGGATGCCAAGCTCAATTTAATTACAACATTTCGTCAGGCGATGACTTTCCCATTCTTCGTAGAGGATGATATGATTGGGGTGGAGGAGGATTGATGCCTGACACTGTTAACTGAGAGAGCTTAAAACATTATTTTAAAGTTCTCATTTCTTAACTATTTATATTTTAATAATTTCGCCAGGTGATGATTTTTCAATCCTTCAGATAGGGATATATGTTTGGGAGGGGGGAAGGGGGGAGGGGGGGGGGGTAGGGGGTTATGACAGACACAGTTAGCTGAGAGAGCTTAAAACTATTTTAAAAGTTCTCATTTCTTAAATATTTATATTTTAATACTGCTTCCTCTTCTATTTTCATTTTTTTTTTTTCATTTAGAGGTATAGTAGTCAGCTTTACTTTCAGCTGTTTAAGCACAAAAGATGCTTTAGCCTGTGATGACAAAAAAATTTTTTTTTCTCACTCTAACAATGCACTTTAATCGACTACTTATATAACCATTCACTAATATGTTGCTTGTTCTAGAGTCGGCATATCAGACTATCTCTGTATCTGTGCAATGACTGATATTAACCATATTAGACACGAGCGCTTTCTATTTTCTTTCTTCTACAGTTCACCATTCTGGGCCACAGCAACGCATGGCCGGGTACAGCTAGTTATAAGATGTTTTGAAAGAGGTGAGGAAGGCAATCTTTTATATAAAATTATAAGAAGTTTGGAGAAAGCTGAGGATCTGATACAACAAATCATAAAATCAAAAAGAGACAGTCATCTTTTTTTTGGGTCTTATTATGAGAAGTAAGAAACTAGAACATGCTGAGACCACTGGAAAGATCTGGTGAAAAAAACTGTACTACAAAAAAAAAACAGTGACATCATTTCTAAAGATCCTTCAACATGGGAAATGATCCAGACATACAGCATAGACCTACAGCCTAACTATACAGTCACAACAATAATTCCAGGCATAGACAAAAAAGCTGAAAAATGTGACCAAGTACTACATGCAAAGACCCTTGGACATGACTACAATTGTTATCCAAAACCCGAATAGACACATGTATACATTGATGGATCACTGGAGGGTGCAGAAAAAAAAAACGGAGGAGCTGGATCGGTCATCATGCTGCAAGATGGGACCACTAGAAACGTCATCCGCCTCCGGAAGACTCAACAAACTTCGGAGCAGCAACAACTCAAAGACTAGCACCCGGGATGCCACTTTAACTCTTTGAGTCCCAAGGAACGCATCATACGTTCATAGGTTACTGCCTAGAAGCCCAATGAACGCACGATGCGCCGTTTTACATCTCTTTTGACTACCCCTTGGGCCTGTGATGCTAAACCTTTTGGGACTCAATGAGTTAAATAGTACAATTAAAATGTCATGTTCTTCTTCTTCTTGGCGTTTACCAGCTGTAAACTTCTTCCAGAGCCTGAGTGTTGCGTGTGCATCCATTTAACAGATCTTACTAATTTGTATGCAGACAACTGGTTCCTTGCCTTTCAGGCAGATGCACTCCGACTTCGAAGGAAGCTTCCAATTAGTCGACTTACAAAATGCTTTTTGATAACTCTGTATCAGTCCAATGCTAGGGACTAGTTATTGTTTCTGCACTGTCATCCCCCAGTCCAATGTCAGCATATTCTAAAATATGTAATATGTTATAGCTGAAAAGTTCTCACTCTCTCCTCATGCGTCAATTTACTTCACAGATACATATGTAATAATATATTAACAAAACACAAATGCTCACCCTGTTCCAGTCATATTCCTCGAATGGGAATATTTCAATAACATCTCCATCACTTGTATCAGACGTATTGTTGAGTACATTATTGCTAATGTTACCGTGATTGTACGAATCCATTATGACATATATAAAAAAACGGGAGCATTTATTTTGTCCTGTTTTTACAGTTGAGTAACTCAACTCAGCAACGGTTCATAATTTCTTAATTAAACGTACTAATACAATTAACTAATATATGCTGTTCAGACGTTGTAACAATTTAACAGCATTTTTCATTTGAAATTGAAACGATCCATGCACTGAATTGTAATCAGCAGACGCTTGGACAGAAAGTAAAATTTTGTCATCGTACCATAGGCCACAATATAGCAGACGACTAGACCAGACAGTGAGCAGTTTAAATTATGCAATACATTTGCGCACAAGATGTCCGTAGGTGAGCCATGCTTCATCGTTTAACTCATTCTATTAATCCTAAACACATCTTTTAAACAGAGGAAGAAGCAATCTATCATCTTAAGGAGGCCGAATTATTTGTGGACGTTTTGCTCATTTCAAAACATGCCCAACTACATTCTTGTTGAGTGCAAATATTTCGGAAAGGTATTTCCGCTTCTTGTCGACGCATGCGCAGATGGAGTTAATATTAGATATGTTCATGTATTTAGAAATCATGAGATGTTGTTGGTGACATTTATGAAACACAGTTTCGTCCCAAATTTAATTGTATATTATGTTTTTTACGATCAACGAAGTTAGCTGATTTTTTCGTTATTTTGAAGCCCCACTTTCGTTGTTGCCTGTGGCCCTAATATAACCTAATGGTTGAACGGGGTTTCTTGGACCTCTCCAGGTTGATCCTCATCCGAATGGTGACACTTTGTGTCATCGGATGATTGTCGCTTAGTGTGATGTCCTGGTGGGGTAAAAAGTTAGTCAAACGTCAGTCGATCGACGTAACTGCACATACAGAGTCGGGTCTTGGTCACATATACCATATAGTCCTAATATCATAGAAAGATATAAAACCGAAAGTTAGGCCAGCGAGCTTCACAATATAACAAACACAAACGAAAAGTGAACGTTGCGACAATAGAGCCTTCATCAGCACATACACAAATCAAACAAAACCACACGAATATACAAAATCACTCACATATAGGCCTAACAGTAGTTCAACCCAGGGCATTTTTCTGACGTAGGCAACGGTAAAGATTAAACAGCATTGAAAGTCTATGGTAAAGCAAAATGTTGAATTAAAGATTGACATCACGGCACTAAGGAAACTCCTATAAGCGCTCCGTCCCTATTTTCAGCAGCAATTGACGAGTTCCAATAACGACGGCACCAGTAACTGTCTGATTTTATATCCGTTTCGCCTTTCCCTTGAGTGTTGAGTGTCGGCCAGATGATCTATTTGTGCCTCCGCACTGTTCATCACAATATCTAGCTTGTCATACATCAATTCAAGTGGTGCAGAACCAGCTAGTACATTTTTCCGCTCGTTTCCAAACACACAGGCAGAACCTGGAGAAATGGACAAAGAACGCCAACTACCCGGGATCTCTGAAGCGATGCTTGCCAACCTGCACGGAGCATGCCTGTTTCCATCTTTCTAACATGCTTTATGACTCAGCTACAATTACGAGATGTTTGTACAACTGATTCTCAAGCCAGCGGAAGGCAACAGTGATTGCCTCTACCTCCATTCTCAAACCAGGCGTTGTGATATATGCCAGGCTTTGCTGCACTAAGCGAAGACTATCCACTTTTGCTATGATCCCCCATGTATTTCGTCTGCCTTTCAACTGGGCGGGAATCGTCATGAATCATGTGTTGCACTTCTGATTCTGCAGCACAAGCTGGTCAGTCCCTGCACTCACTACCTAAAGTGATTAGAACCAATCACAAATCTGATTCTTGCTCGGACACTTTGGCCCACTCCTCTCCTCGACCAAATTTATCAAGCCTTTACACATGTCTAATTGTGTCTTCAGTCTGCACCATCAAAGACCTTTCTTTTTTCAGTCTGTGACGCTTATCTATACTAAGGGCTTCCTGCAGGAGGTGCGTCTTGTCTGCAGCTACTCTGAGATATGTTTTTGCTTGTATATAAACTGGGCCAACAAATGGGGCCTCGAAGTAAACAGGAACAAAACTGTAGCAACACTCTTCTCATTGTCTACAAAGGAGGAAAAGTTTACATTAAAATTCAACAATGATGCTGTTCCACGCTCCAATACTCCAACCTTCCTGGGAGTCAAGCTTGACAGTCGTCTGACATGGAAACATCACATACTAGAAACTAACAAAAAAGCCATGAGAAAACAAGGTGTGATGAAGAAATTGGCAGGCACCACTTGGGGAGCAGACAGTTGTATCTTGAAGCAGATACACCGGCACAGTCAGACCAACTCTCGAATACGCATCATCGTCATGGATAACAGCAGCCCATTCCAATAAACAGATACTAGACAAAACGCATAATAGAAGTCTGCGTACAATTCTGGGAGCCATAAAATCTACACCTATTGTAGAAATGGAAAAGGCAGCCAACATCATCCCCTTAGAAGAAAGAAGAAGGACAAAAGCAATTCTACATGCTGAAAAAATGAAGAAAATGCTAAACCACCCATTACACGAAAAATTGGCAGCCAGGACAAAAAACAGAATAAAGCGCACAAGCCTAAACCATCTAACGAAGGAATTTGGAAAGCCATTCTCTTCACTACTTAACCAACAATGTACACCTGAAGAGCTATCTTTCGATCTCCGGGACTCCGAATTATTGACACTCAATGTGTCAACATCTATCCCGAACTGGGAAACAAAGATGCTGAGCCCGCTTTAGTGAAGAAAGCACTCACAATGGAACACCTCAACAACATGTTCCCACAGGACAGCTGGACAAGAATCTACACGGATGGATCAGCAAAAGAGGCAACTACGAATGGTGGGGCAGGTGTTTACACAAAACACCCAGATGCCACTACTGTTTCCCTAGCAGCCCCCACCGGACGAACTTGCTCTAACTACAAGGCAGAACTCTCAGCTCTATTGATGGCAGCACAGTATATGAACAATCTGCAAATCACCGCAGGCAGGATAGTTTTTCTCACTGACTCACTGTCAGCTGTACAGGCCCTTGGGTCCAAACCTACCGACAGCACACTACAAAGTCTAACACAGGAACTTGCTATGTTGTCAAATAAAGCAGAAATTCACTTGCAGTGGATTCCGTCTCACTGCGGCATCAAAGGCAATGAAAGCGCAGATGCTTTAGCCGTAGCCATCGACAATACAGGCCCTGAAACTCGACTGGTGACGTCACTTCCCGAGGCAAACAAAATGGATGTATCAGTGTGTGTTCGATTTTATTTTTATTGTGAAAGTTTTTAATGTGGTTTAATTTTCACGTCTGATTCACCTATAAGCGGTATTTCAGGGAGTAGATTTAGTAAGCAATTTCTGCAATTTACGTTGGATTTATCGTCAGTGTGTTGGTTTTCGAGTAACTATGCCTGCTAAATGTTCTGTACCCGAGTGTCGTTCAAATTATGACCTTTCTAGTGGATATGTAAGTTGCTTCAGATTCCCTTCGAATTCTCTTTTAAGAGACAAATGGCTGAAACATATTCCACGGAAAAATTGGACTCCTGGGAAAACCAGTGTAGTATGTATAAAACATTTTCGTACGTCAGATATTATTGTGTCTGATAAATATACAGACAAATCAGGAATCGAGCATATACTTCCAAGAAAGAATCCCGCTTTAAAAAAAGATGCTTATCCAACTATTTTTCCAGATCTTCCATCCTATTTATCTCGCAAAACTCCAGAGGAACGTGTATCACATATTAATAAAAAAGTTAAAGACAAAGACCTTAAATGGATTGTAGACAACAATAAACTTGTGAGATGGTCACAGCTTGAAAATCTTGTAATTCATTACAATGCCTGGGATTATAGTAAAATTTAAAGCCAAAATAGCTTCACAGATTTAGTGGGAGAAGCAGGAAGTATTTTGAAGAGTGCCGCAGAGCAACAGTGGACTCCTAATGGGACAGCTGATGAAGTAACTGACACACAAGTAAACTTTTTGCAGAGCAGCTGCAACTTTTAACCGTGTTAAAAAACAGAAGGCGTTACAGTTGTAGCACATTATGTTTCGCTTTCATGCTGTTCATTAAATCTCCAGCATGCTACCGGTTTATAAGAAAATCTCGTATGTTGTGCCTGCCTCATCAAAGAACACTGCACAATTTAACTTCACAGTTGTCATTGTCTACTCATACTGGCAGCATTTCACAGTACTTAAAATTGAAACAAGACAAAGTGACAGAGCTAGAAAAGATTGTAGTGGTTCAGATGGATGAAATATATGTTAAATCTGCAATTACTTACTCTGGGGGCAAAATATTTGGCAATGCAGACAATGCAAAAGAAGCAGCAACAACAGTGCAGGCTTTCCTCATATCTTCAGTTTTTGGAAGCTACCAGGAAATTATAGAACTTTCACCTGTGAACAGAATGATATCTCAGGATCTACGTTTGAAATTACTCCACTGTATCCACTTTGTACAGGAGTGTGGTTTCACAGTAGTTGTTGTAATTGCAGATAATAGTGCTGTCAATCGCAGAGTTTACAGTGATCTCCTGAAACCAAGCCAAACTTTTATTGAGAACCCAGATTTTGCTAATAAAAAATATTTTTACTGCATGATTCTGTGCACTTGCTAAAATGCATGTGGAGGAACTGGATCAACCAGAAGGACACAAACCAGACATTTACTTATCCTTTAATAACTGGACAAATGCTAAACGCTTGTGATACTGATAGAGCTGCAGAAGCTAACTTTTCTCATTTGAAGAAACTGTATTATAGTGAGCAAAAGAATATTGCAAAACTGGCACCTAAACTTTCCCACAAAGCCATCTATCCCTCCAGCATGGACAGACAGAATGTTCCTCTTGCTTTGGCAATTTTTAATGAATACAATGTTGCTGCTCTGCGTCTAGTAGGCAGTAATGAAACAGCAGATTTTATTGAAGCCATCCTTAGATGGTGGCATATTGTTAATGTAAAAAGTAAATTTGTAGGTAAAAAGACACTGAAC